TTAGGGCCTTGTCGTGGTCCCTTTTGTGTTGCTCTAAAGCAACACCTGAGGCCAGGTAATTTGTAAGGAAGTCTATTTGGCTCATGGTTCTGCAGGCTGTATGAGAAGCATGGCGCCAGCATCTGGTGAGGGCTGCAGGGAGCTTCTAATCAAGGCAGAAGGTGAAGGGGGGTGGTAGGTGTGTCACATGGTGAGAGAGGGAGCAAGCGAGAGGAGGGGGTGCCCACACTCTTTTAAACCACCAGCTCTGTCGTGAACTAATAAATCAAGAACTCACTCATCACTGCAGGGAGGGCACCAAGCCACTCATGAGGGATCCGCCCCGTGACCTGGACACCTCACCTCGCACTGGGCCCCACCTCCAACACTGGAGATCAAATTTCAACACGAGATTTGGAGGGGACAAACATCCAAACCGTATCAGGCCTTAAGAGATTAAGTTACTTATCCAAAGTCAATCAGCTGGGAAAAGTTGAAGGTGAGATATAAACCCAGCTTGTATTGAAAAGTTTAAATATTATAGAAACGTGTAAACTAGTGCTGCTTCCAAAAGTGAAAACCTCCCCATGGATTCTGGGGAAATACTCAATTGTCCTGCGGAGCAGTCCAAATTTGGGTGGCATCTCTCCCTCTCTGGTGCCAGGCTCCTTGCCAGGGGTCCTCAAACTTTTTAAACAGGGGGCCAGTTCACTGTCCCTCAGACTGTTGAAGGGTCGTTGGAGAGTACGGCGCACATTCCACACATGTGCACTGTGGGCCCGGGACGCACCCGGCGGGCCAGATAAATGTCCTTGGTGGGCCGCATGTGGTCCGTGGGCCATAGTTTGAGGACCCCTGTAAGATGCTAAAGCTCCCTAGGAGGGGCTGAGACCAGCAACTCCGGGCAGGATAAAGGCAAGATTAGGAGAGAAAACACCACACAGCTCAGAATTCTGCAGAATCCAGTGAAAATCTCCTGGGCCTGACATCATCTGAGATGGTCTCTAAATCAAATGTCTTGGCCTTAGTGTCAGTCCTAAGCCCCTCTGGGCTTCAAGGATTTTCCTGCCCTCACGGTGTGAGTAACTGAAAAGGGATCCGTCTGTGTCCGCTGCCTGCAGTGCTCAAACTTCCCTTCAGTGTCGCAGTGAATGATGAGCGGTTAGTCCTGCCAGAGGCTTTAGAGATTATCTAGTCCAATCCCTTCAATTTATACATTACACATTAACAGTAGTTAATGGCAGAGCCACTAGGATGCTTTCTCTTTGCTTCAGTAAAAAAAAAAAAAAAAAAATCATCTTACCATTAAACACTGATGTAAGAGTCATTTCCCTTGATTGCAAAACACAGAAGAGACCCTTACAACCGCTGTGTGTACATGGAGAATCTCCGTCAAACCTCGACTTTCATATTTGATCCATCTGCAGTACCCCTTTTTGTGGCAGTGGCATATGGGGGCAGGGGTGTGTGCGTAGAGAGCGGAGTAATGCGTTTCTCTAATGCTGAGGACAGAGACTGCTGCCATTGGCCTGCCCTTCTGCTTCCTGATCGGGCGGGCCAGCCTCTCTGCCGTGTTTGAGGCCAGCAGCCATCATTTTGTCTGCCAGGCTCCTTACTGGCCCGACCCACTGGCTGTCAGAGCTAAGCTGATCTTTTCCCCTGCTGGCTGCTTACCTGGGACATATGATTGGTGGAGAAGGGCCTGCCAGAGGGGAGCCAAGACTGTCCCTCTCAGCGCCCCTGCAGGTAAGGGTCACAGGGCCAGGTCCATTCCAGAATCTCATGCCCTTATTCCCCATTTGGAACTGCAAACAGCTGTGCATTGTGGCTAGCACGGAGTGGTGAGCCGAGAACAGGCAGGGGAAAGCCTGCAGAAGTGGAAAAGGTCACTGTTCTTCTGCCCCACTCACCCACATTGCCCATCCTCTTCTAGGACCCTCGGGCCACCTGTGCAGGCCATCTCCTGGATGCCACCCTCCCCTCCACCCCTTTTGAGGAACCAAACCCCTGGTTTGGAGAGCCTGGTAGGTTCCCATAGCAATGGGCCTTTTAGCTGTTGCCATAGCAACCAACACTCAGACCATTTAGTTGCTAGTCAACTGACAGCTGTAAGTGAATCGGATTCAGCTTAGAATCTAGGGATAGGCCAGGGGAGTCTCTTCATAGAAAAAGACACAACCACCCAGAACAGCCCAACTCCTTTAAAGACTTTTAGACACATCTGCAGATATCCAGAGCCACTTTCTACCTCGGGTCACCCAACTCTGCCCCCACCCCGTTCCCAACACACACACCAATTCAATGAGCACCCCACGCCTTTAAACAAGGCACCCCCCCTTCCAACCTCCATTTCCTGTTCTGTCTCTTCCCAGAGGGCCCTTGGAACAGACACTTGTTTAACATGACTCTCACCTTAGCAACTTTTTTACACATAACTCTTTTCCTTTGTGTCAATGCTCTTGCTATGTGTCACAGCCCTGTCCTCGTGCCAACCCACTCATTTAAGCATTGTTTTTTGGATTCTCTGAAGTGAATGGCCAAGCTCAGATCATCTTCTCTTAGTCAACTTCACCTATTTCAAATCATCCTTCCTATGTCTTGGGGGGTGTTCTCAGAGAACATTCTGTTTTATCAACCTTTGCAAAGCATAATCAAGATCATTCTGTTCCTTTAAAAAAAAAATCAACTAAGATTTCAAAACCGAACATGAAGGACTTGAAATTACTCCATGCTTATTGATTTTTATTAGCCTGAAGATGTGACTGAACACCAGGCATCACATTTAACCTACTCCCAAAGCGGGGATACTAGGTGTTGGATTCTCTTTATTCTGTAAGCAGGGGTGCTATTATTATTTTTTTAACAACTGGAATCTAAGATTTACTTGCCCTGGAATTCATGTAAAATAGGAGTTGGGTCTAAGCCTCCAAGGCTTGCTTAGTGGACTAGAAAAGCATGAACCTGTCATTGGAAAGAGCATGACCTTTTTTTATATACCTAAGATTCAGTGCTTCCCAATGTTTTAATGACTCAGGAGGGGGGTGTCTGTGAACTGTCTGTAGAAGGCGACCTTTCAAACTAATCCCCCCATGGGAGCCCTACCTAGCTTGCGGCTGCAGGCCCCACGCAGCCTCCCGATGGCTGGTAAACAGTCACAAGCTGTGTGTCCCCTTCTGTTCTGGCGGTATATATGAGCTGAACAGCTTCTCTTCTTTTTTTTCTCTAATTTCCAAAAAATCTATTTATACTCTATGTCTTAACCAATGTTTCTCTACCTTTTTTCCATTATCACTCCTTTAAAAAGTCTGTTTAGACATTTTAATCCTAATCAACCACTGCATACATTTTAATATATATACATTTAATAGTATTATATTTATACTCGTGTTTTATACATAAAGCGAAGATTTTTTTGTCCCCAAGAACAAATTTTCACAAAGAATGCACAGCATAAACGATGAAAGGTTTATAGTTTTAAAATACTTTTTTTATTTGAAGCGTCAGTGGGGAGAAGAAAAAGAAATCTATTTTAGCACTTAAATATGTGAATTATTTCCAGAATAGTTTAACACTCAACTAGTCAGTTGTATCAGAATCAATTTTCCCTGAAGTAGATAGTGTTCCCAGTTACAGGCAGTCCTCATTTTGCATGGTAGTGTGGGCAGAGGAGTATACCAGGCAGGTAGCTGTTAGCTGAAGCTAAGTGACACGGGGAATCTTCTGGGAATAGGAGGCAGCAGGCACATGAGAGCTAAGCTTCTCTAGAGGCCTCAGAAAGTTCCTGGGCAGAGGATAGCTTCGTCTTTCTGACGAGACATCATCACATGTCAGATTGAACCTTTTGATTTGCCTGCTATTTCTAGACAAAGAACAATGGCTCCTAGGGTAATAGCTGACATTTATGGAGTGTAGCTTGTATGCCAGAGGTCACTCAAAGTGTTTTACATGCCTCATTTCATTTCATCCTCACAGCCCGACTCCTGTACTAACAGATAAGGACACTGTCACACAGGGAGATGGAGTGATTTCCAGATCGCACTGGTCGTCCTATTAATTGGTGGAGTCAGGATCCAACCACAGGCGGTCTGAAGCCCGAGACCACAGCAGTTGACCACCTTTGGCATTCACGCAATCCGGATGCACCGAGGGCCCGGCACGGGAGATAGGGTGTGATAGGAGACGTTAAAGATCTTAGGTAAAAAGTACAGTGGTTAAAAGGCTCCTGGCATTTGCTAGTAAACCTTGGCTGTTTAACTTTATTCCTGATCCATTGCTGTCCCCTGGTGGTTTTCCTGGGAAACTCACAGGCCAAAGAGACCCAAGGGTCTAGTGAAATTAAGGGATGAAAAGAACCAGACTAAATGAATTATTTGCTCATAAGCGCTTTGTACAAACTCACCTAAGAGTTTCTTCCTTTTGTCCAACCTAACAACAGTTGATCTTCCAAGTTCCATGTAATTCAACTCAATAGCAAATAGGGCTGTAATCTCTGTGCCATCTTAAAGCTAATTGATATAGTACATTGATTCAAAACAGATGGTAAAATATATGCCCATGATTATACTTGTACTTTCAGAGTGGGAAATTCCAAGATTGAATTAATTTGGCCATTACTTGCTTCAACTTCATATTTTGTCTTTAAGCTTCTAGGCTTTCCTCAACATGGTAGAGGGTTCCAAAAGATCACTATGCCTCATCCTAACCTGTAACCCCTATTCCCCTACCTGCCCCCTCAAATACCAGTTCCCTCAATCTTTCAGGGGTGGTATTATTCAACTAAGTGATGCTTGCATTACCTGCTTCTTTCCAGCATGACTGGTGGTATATGATTGTGCAAAATAAAGGAAAATAGGTCCTTTAATATAACATAGACAAGGTGTAACTGGGGAAAAAAGGAGGAAAAAGACAATTTCTGAAAAAGTTATGTCTTCAGTGCACTCCAGAACCATGGAACCCCAGTTCCCGCCTTCTATAGTTCTAGGGAGACATACTTTGAAACAAGCAGGTGACCACAGCTCAAATGCAGAAGACAAGACTGATGAGTTTTTATTTATTCAAAGTTACATTTCCAGGTGCAAAAAGAGACCAAAAGTTAATGTTGTTAAAAAAAAAAAAATCAAACATCTGCTAACCCAGTGCTGCATTTAAGTAGAAAAAGAGACATGAGACAACCAGAGAGAACCAGCCGTCCAGAGCTGAATTTCTGCTGTAGAACACCTCCTCTCCCATGAGTCACTGGACACCACTGGAGAGCAAGTCACTGCTGAAGCCACGGAGGCGGAGGTGTTGTCAAGAGTCAGCAGACTCATTGAGCAGAAAGCACTGAACTCAACGAGGCACTTAGAGATGGGGAACTTGTAGAGGTACCGTCCCAGCTACATGGAAGTGGAACCCATCCTCCACTGGGAGGGACATAACCCTAGGGCAAGTCATCTGATATCCTTAAGCAACCTCCGTCATGTTCTGTCTGCTTGGGCCTTCCTTATTCCAACAGCAAAAAAAAAAAAAAAGAAGACAATTAAATCCCTACAGTTGCACTCTCTCTTCTTTCCTTCGAACTTTTCATAAAAGATATTACAAAGACAACAGTTCTGAGCTCTCAGGAAATAGGGTCTTAAATGCTTTTAGAAGCTGAGAGGCATAAAACAACAGTCTTGCAATTCCTTTCATCTTACACACTGATTTAGTTTCAGGTCTGAATTTTTCCCTCACTTCCTCCTTCCCTCTCTACCCATGCCCTCTCACCCCTGGATAGATACATTGGCACCAAATAGCTCTAGCTTTTGATCTGTATTGGGATTTCCCAGCAGAAGAGACGTCGGTCTTGGTCATCACGAAGTTCCCACTCCACCACCAGTTTTATCTGGAAAAAGAGAAAAAGAATTGGGAAAAATGAAAGTAGGACCTGATCTTCATCCATAATTGACCTAACTATGTATCCTGGATGTATATGGTAACAAACAAACTGCCTAATTCCTCATATTTTTCTTCTTAAATCATGCCACCATGAATGCTACTTAGGATATGGGCACAGCCTGTGGACGTAAACTTGAAAGAGTGAACCAAGTTATACCTATGGTTTGGTGCTAGCAGTACCACATACTAACCTAGTTAATTTATCAAATATAATTTCTAAAGCATTCTTTTCCCTCTTATATCAATTGAATAATAATTATACATTTAAACAATTTCTTATGTATTTGGCAATCTGACCCAGCCTTTTCTAACTGTAACAATGAAGAGCAGAGAGAGAAAAAAATTACATTCCTAGGTCTAAGAAAACTTTCTCATTAGCTGGAAATGGAAATGTCAATGCACAAAGGATAGTCCAAAGCAGTCTATGGCTGTATGAATAATTTTAAGTACAACAACCCCCTGTAGCAATACACCTTCAGTTAACTTCCTTAAACTACTCATTAGAGCTCTCTTCCTTGACTTATCACAGGTATACTATGAGCTGTCACTTCTAATTCTTAATAACTCACTGACACTTTGTGGGTCCTTTCTTATGTGGACATTAGCTTATCTGTCATTAGTTACAACCTCTCTTTTGTACTCAAATGTTTCTTCACAATGGAAAACCATTTGAGTGATAATAACACCCAGATTCTCACTTGTTTTGTAAGTTTTTCAAGACTAGTATGCATTAACTACTGCTTCACTTTGTGCTTAAGCAGTTTGAGCTGTTTTTCAAATTAAATGTAATTCACTTAAGAGACATTAAGCACCTGCTGCCTATCAGGCCCTGACCAGACACTCTGAACACATAACTGAGGTTTAGAAATGCCCATGAGTATACGGATACCCTGCAAATTAATCTATAAAGCTCTCCCTGACCTTGATGGTCTCCAACTCTCCAACATCCCTTAAACACAGACTCCTTGTATTTGAGTCCCTTTAGAGTGTTCTTTAATTACTTGCCTCTTGTAGAAAAATAAATGGCCAGCCTGTTCCTGGGTTCTACTTGACTTCCTTTCAAAAAACACAGCTCTTAGGCCGGGCACGGTGGCTCACGCCTGTAATCCTAGCACTCTGGGAGGCCGAGGTGGGTGGATTGCTCGAGATCAGGAGTTCGAAACCAGTCTGAGTAAGAGCGAGACCCCATCTCTACTATAAATAGAAATTAATTGGCCAACTAATATATATAGAAAAAATTAGCCGGGCATGGTGGCGCATGCCTATAGTCCTAGTTACTCGGGAGGCTGAGGCAGGAGGATTGCTTGAACCCAGGAGATTGAGGTTGCTGTGAGCTAGGCTGACGCCACGGCACTCACTCTAGCCTGGGCAACAAAGCAAGATTCTGTCTCAAAAAAAAAAAAAAAAGGAATACAGCTCTTTTTTCTTTATGGAAAAAGGTAATCCCTTTACTTCTTCCATTCGTTTCAAGATTCATATCTTTAACACAGGCCCATCCCGCAGGATCCACTTCACAAGTGCTTGGCATAAAAAAAAGGGAGGTGAGGTGTCCAGAGGTGAGGGTGGGAGTCAGAGGGGAGAAAGAGAGTGGAAAAAGCTACTTTTCCCCCATGGAGCTAACAAACTACTGCTCTCTTGTTGTGGGATTAATGAAGAAACCTGGATTTTTGGATAACAATGCTGAAACACTTGGATCATAAACTATTTGGTATCTGGCCCAAATTTTTAAACACTGCACAGCCTTTGGAGTCATAAGACCCAGCTCTAAACGTAGGCTGTAATATTTCTTAGTTGAGTGGACTCTGTCCACATTGCATAACATCAAAGGCTCAAATTTCTCTCAACGCTATATAGGGTGGAGAATTAAGCAAAATATCATATGTAAAAATGGGATCTTCAGGCCCAGGCAAAGCACCAGAACAAAGGGACACAATAAAAAACCCTAACACTCACACCTATCTCTGCCCTCAAGTTTCTAATCCAGTCCCAAGGCCTCCAGTGTTTCCAACAACAGTGTCACTTACGGAGGGGTATTCACCCTTCACGGGTAGTTTATTCACGTAGCTGTAGGTCTTGTCTTTTTGGATGGGGCAGCTGATGCCACTCTTACAACCATCAGGCTCAGGAATGGGAAAGGGAACTGGGACACCCATTATGATGCCATGCACAAAGGCTTTGCTACTTTTAGATGGAGTATCTAGGAGGAAAAAAAAAAGAGAATCAGACAGTGAAAAAAAACCCCTAAACCAAAACAGACTATTTTCAAACCCTAAATCAAAATTTCAGATATCAATATAATCTCAAGCAACAGCATTGCTATGGCTGCAAATCATCATGCACATGCCTCTTAATTCCTAGGGACTATTTCTCTTTGTAGCTGTGCTTTATCTAGCACAGTACAAGCATTCACTCCGAACTTGAAAAATTATATAAAAGAAGAATTAATTATACAAAAAGAAGAAGCAACAGGACTTGTGTTCTTTGCTCTTAACCTTGCTCTTCATTGCCTTTCACAGCTTCTCAGGAGAATCAAAGCTACCTCGGTAAATAACCTTATCCAACAAGGCAACCGATTTTTGGCAGTAAACTTCTGTTTACTATTTATATCAGCTTCTGTCAAAGTGTGTTGCGTGTCTTCAATCCATGGTCTATAAAAAGGTACCCTTTAGGAGCTGCTATTGCAGTATTGTGGAGATCCAGAGAATTGGTTCCATATGTTTCTTCCTGTCTGGGCTGGGAAGGATTTTGTTTAGAAGGCATTTTTTTTTTTTTTTTGGAATAATAGAGGGGCGAAGGTATAGTCTAGGAAAGAAAATAGGGAGTGAATAGTTAGAGGGTTTTCAGGCTTACGTAAGAGATAACAGGAGCTTTGAGGTTTCTTATTAGACTATCTAGTCTATTTCCATAGGATGGAAAATGAAGAAAGGATTCAAGGCAGATGCACTGTCTGGAAATACAGATTTCACATTGGTCTAGATTCTTGGGAATCTGAAAGTGATAAATGTGGTACAAGAAAGTACCAAGTTCTGATAATATTTCTTGAATATTACTGGAGAAGAAAGCTCGGATTTCTTTTTTTGTTTTTGTTTTGTTTTGAGACAGAGTCTTACTCTGTTGCCTGGACTAGAGTGCAGTGGTGTCAGCCTAGCTCACAGCAACCTCAGACTCCTGGTCTCAAGTGATCCTCCTGCCTCGGCCTCCCAGAGTGCTAGGATTACAGGCATGAGCCACCTCGCCCAGTCAGCTCAGATTTCTTGATTGTTTCTTGGGTCTCCAGTAGGTTCCCTAAACCTTACAGAGCTTGTTCAGTAGTCATTGCACCTTTATTGTCAGGCAAGATGTAAATTTAATAGCTGAAAAGTATACTGCTTAAAATAACATTTTGGAAGAGTTGGTGTTGCGTGTCTTCAATCCATGGTCTATAAAAAAGGTACCCTTTAGGAACTTGGTAAGATTAGAAAGAAGTACATTTCTTGATAACATGGTTACAGAATAAACATGGTTTACAGAATTGGGGTCTGTATTGATACTCTGCAGTCTGTAGCTAAACAGAGCTGATGTTCTCATAAAAGCCTGCTATGCAATATGGCCTAAGACAGGATGGAGAAAAGCCAAACTGTTTTCTCCAACCTGTGAACACATGGAAATCTCCCTGCTTGCTTAAAAGGGGTCTGGGAGCCACGGACTTTGGGCAACAGGTATATGGGAAACCAGTATGAGAAGGCTGTCTAAGGGCATAGTGAACCGTAGCTTTGCACAAATAGGAAGGGAGGTCACAGAATTCCTGACTACCAATCCCCCTCCTCGCACATTCCCATGCTCATTCTAATACCTAAGATTTATGTTACGCTTTAGCATGAAATCACAGGGTAAAAGCCACTTTTACTCACTGCTGGTGAAGGTGACATTGATACTGTAAGACTGTCCTTTGCTCAGTTGGCAAGGCTGGGTGGAGCATGGGCTCACATTCACTTCCTTTATAACTCCAACCATAGAACCTACAAAAAAAGAAAAATGAATTAGAATAAGAGGAAAAATAAACCATGTAGGCTGCCCACCACCTAGTCGGAAGATGCCCTGCTCTCCTAGTTAGGGTGAGCTCGATCTCCTCTGACTGCTTTCATGGAATGGAATCTTTAAGAAAACGTCCAGTCAAAAGTCAGAATCTTGATTCATCTTACTGCTAAAATCATAGTCTGTAAATGAGATGAAAAGGGAGCTGGTTGGTTTCTTGATGAAGAGAAAGTTAATATTTATCAAGCTAAATAATATCCTGAGACCATGTCCACAAAAGATTATATTTAAGGGATTAAACTACAACCAAAGAAACTCCAAATGTTCCTAGATTCTTGTCTTGCCTTCTTAATGGTAAGGGGTCACAATCTGAACTTAAACCTTGAAAATGTTTGCTTCAACTTTCCTTTTGATTAAAATATTCCTGTTTTTCCCTTCATGTTCTAGTACATGAATAAGCATGTAAATTTTATGAGAGTTGTTCACTACTTGAAAAACTGCAAAAATAGCCCAAAGGCAACCTGGGGCCTCAAATTCCAAGAAGGAAGATGAGAATGAGTTTCACCATCTTTCCACCCAAAGTTCTATAAGTGCAAATGCTGGTGTAGGGAGTCCAGTATTATCAGGTAGAAAGTCTGCAGATCTTGGAACAGAGAGAACCTCTTTGGAATTCCTGGCTCCAGGAGGTTTTAGCTCCTGAGTTATTTATTTTTAGACCCTAAGGAAATTGCACCTTGGGTAGCAAGAATTCGGGAAAGCCAAGGCATCTGAAGAAAACATCTCACAGCAATGGGTTTTATTATCCTTGTTTTAGGGGTTAGAAAATAGAAGAGCAGAAAGGTTACTGTGACTTGCCCAAGGTCACATCCCCTGGAAGGGGCAGATCCAGGACTCAGGGGATCAGCCTGACTTGGAAGTCCTTGCTACTGGAACCCAAAGGAAGCTTTAAATATGTAGCCATAGTGACAAAGGGAAGGAGACCCCAAGGAAATTCCTAACTAGGAACTATCTGAAGACTTAGGATGAAGATTCAGAATCAAAATCAATCAAAAGAGTCTTTTCAGGTCCCTCGATTCAGCGTCACCTCTGCCTCTCACTACTCTTCTCTTTCTATATTAGATGCTCAGCCCCCATATCCTTTGTGATTTTCAGTGAAATATCTTCTGCCCAGATTTTATATCCTTTCCACAAACTCCTGGTAAATCCTTTGCCCAGTATTTGGTCTTCTTGGGATCTCTTCATTATTTTGCCCCAAACTGACTTCTTGGAGAAATAAAGTATACTTAAAGGTGTGGGTAAAATAATGAAAAGTGTCAGAACACCCAGTCTTGGCTTTTTAAATAAGGCTGATTTCAGAAGCCCACTCATTTCCGAGTAAGCAGAGTATAGAATTTAAGAGGAACTCCTAGCTTAATCTTTAACAGAGGAACGACTTAAACAGAGAAACTACCTACTATCTCTGAACTGGGAATGACCTTCCACTTCTGAACTGGGAACTACACCATCTCCACTGCACTTCTGTGTTTTCTTGAGTTATTTAGTCATGTTCTTTGAGGGAAAAAAATCTAAAAGGCCCACTTACCCACTTATGAGTCATGAAATACTTTGGCTCAAAAGATAACAGGCAGTTATCTCAAATCTTGCCTAAGGTACCAGGCAAGATTTTTCCAAGAACCAAGGGGTTGAGATCTTTATAGTTCCAATAAAAGCTTAGGGCCCAAATGAAACTTAACTCCCAACAGGGCCATTTCACACAGCCAAGATGGCAGAAGTACGGTGGGGTTAAAGAAGAATACTGCTACCTAAGTCTACGTTTCTTTTCCTCTGAAATACTTACTTGGCTATAGCTCCTGGGAATAATATGTTTGTAAATATTGCATATGTTTAAAAAATAAGGGTCAGATGAAGGAAAGTACTAGGAATAGTCAGAAATGGGATTCATATGACTTACCCATGTTTCTAAGCAGTTTCAAAACTGATTTATGACTCACAAACCTGGTGTAGCTCATGAGTCCTCTGATAGAGAACAAAGCACTGAGGAATAACACTAGACATTCTCCACAAATCTCTGAACTAACACTCTCTCTAAAAGGACCTAAAAACTGTTCATATTTGATAGGTAAAGAGGAGCTGAGCCAATTATGAAGTATCTAGAGCCAGCTCCCCTGCTCTATATCCTGGGAGGGCTATAGCAGGGAAAGGTATACCCCCATGCCACCTCTCATCCCAATACAGGATTTTTTTTGTTGTTTTTGAGACAGAGTCTCGCTTTGTTGCCCAGGCTAGAGTGAGTGCCATGGCATCAGCCTAGCTCACAGCAACCTCAAACTCCTGGGCTCAAGCAATCCTGCCTCAGCCTCCCGGGTAGCTGGGACTACAGGCATGTGCCACCGTGCCCGGCTAATTTTTTTCTATATATTTCTAGTTGGCCAATTAATTTCTTTCTATTTTTATAGTAGAGACGGAGTCTCACTCTTGCTCAGGCTGGTCTCGAATTCCTGAGCTCTAACGATCCACCCGCCTCTGCCTCCCGGAGTGTTAGGATTACAGGCGTGAGCCACCGCACCCAGCCCCAATACAGGATTTTAAAGCAGCACACAGGATATACAAGCTATGACTCAAGTGCTACTGTTTCCACTTGCAATCTTGAGACTGGTCACTCTCAAACTGTTTCCACCTCTCCCCCACCATCTTTCAATCTCGCTTTAGTGTCTCCCCACTCTGTGGTCTCTAAACTTTGGCTATACACTCCCACCAATGAGAATAATTGTAAGCACACATCCACAATACACAAGATGTATACTCCACTTTGGAAACCTGCGTTCTCTAAAATAAGCATCTCTGAGGCAGAGTGTGTCCTTATATTTTCCTTTTTTTTCAATCTCAGTCTAACCAAGGACAGAAGTGCTATTTGTACAAAATAAATGCTTTAGCAAAAAAGGTTGTTTAAATACAAGTCTTTACAAATCCCATTTCCTCATCCAGCTGTCCTGAATCCGGACAGCTGAATGGGAGAGAATGCAAGTGGACTGTCTGGTAACAGTGCCCGTAACAGGGTAAGTTAAGTTCTGCCTTTCAGCGATCAACACTGAGAGGCAGACTCTGGAGCCTGATGTTCGGGTTTGAATTCTCCACTAGCTCTGCTACTGTCAAGGTAGGATAACAACCTCTCTGGGGGTAATCATAAGATAGGTGAGCTAACATACACACAGCTTAGATAAGTGTTTGGAACACAGTAGTGATACATAAGTGTTTACTGTTATCTTATCCAGATTTAGTCGATGAATTTAATCTAGAACAGCTTAGTTCCTCCTGGGTAGGTTAGCAAGTTCCCCCTCCTGGGTAGGTTAGCAAGTTCCCTTTTGACGCAAAGGCTGGGCCACTCACCTCAGATATACTTTGTGGATAGAAATTATGTTTCCAGCCAATAAAATGGATTCTTTCTGTCTCAGAAGTAGAATGCATGAAGACAGAAGGCAAAATGCAGGGTGAGAGTACATTATCTGCTACATGGTCCCCAGATTAGCTCAGTACTATAAAAGCATGGTACGCATCAGGCACGGTGGCTCACACTTGTAATCCTAGCATTTTGGGTCGCCAAGGTGGGAGGATTGCATGAGCTCAGGAGTTCAAGACCAGCCTGGAAATACAGTGAGACCCTGTCTCTACAAGAAAAAATTAGCCAGGTGGTGGCGGCGGTGTGCGCTTGTCCCAGCTACTGGGGAGGCTGAGGCAGGAGAATGGCTTGAATTTGGGGTTGCAGTGAGCTATGATTGTGCCACTGCACTTCAGCCTGAGTGACAGAGCAAGACTCTGTCTCTGAAAAATAAATAAATACAAACAAACAAATAAATGAAAGTATGATATGCACTGGGAAGACCAAGTAGAAGCACTCTGCTTTCTCTGCCTGTGCCTACCCTTGGGTGTGACGGTCTCTCTTTAAATGACCTCTGTCATCACATTGACCACTGCTCCAGCGAGGTCTGTGAATAATACTTTGCAGTCCTTTATCCCCCTTGCTTCTCCGTCACAGCAAAGTTCTCAAACTGTACACACTCTAAGCACCCAAAACAGTGTGAGAAGTACTCTCTTCCACTCTATCCCATCTTCCGTGGACAGTAAAAAAAAAAAAAAGAAATCCTGAACTTCTATCAATGATCCATTGAAAATCAGTGCTTATGTTAAGGCTTTCCACGTCCAGCTTCTACCAGCTTCTTTCAAGGCTTCTTTCACATAATCTAGTAGGAAGTAAGTAACGGGTAGTACTTATAGCTCTTTCTTCCAGTATTTCACTGACAAGAGGTTCTTGGGCTTCCAATGTCAATAGAACTAACTCCTCAGCTGTAATCTGCAAACATTACAAAACTAATTTCCCTGGCCCCATTTCTCACTTGAGGAAATCCCACCCCAGGGAAGGTGGCTGTAGAGTGGAACACAAAATCTTTTGATGTGGGCGCTTAAGTTTTTACTTTCTATTTCCCAATTCAAAAGTAAATTGAAAATCTGTAACTGAAAACTTCCTTCCCTTTAAAGTCTTCCCATAAGTGTATTCCTGCTTTTTTCAAATGAATAGAATAATTCAGAATTTATTTCCTTTCTTCTTCTTCTTTTTTTTTAAATGTTATCAATGAAACCCAAAGTGGCTCATGAAGATCCACCAGTTTCCCACCACTTACTAGCTGTGAGATCTTGGGCAAGTTTCTCTACATGCCTCAGTTTCCTCATCTGCAAAACAGATCGTGAGGACTAAATGAGTTAATCAAATTAATATGGTAGGCCGGGTGCGGTGGCTCATGCCTATAATCCTAGCACTCTGGGAGGCCGAGGCAGGTGGATGGTTTGAGCTCAGGAGTTCAGACCAGCCTGAGCAAGAGTGAGACCCTGTCTTTACCAAAAATAGAAAAAATTAGCCAGGCATGGTGGTGCATGCCTGTAGTCCCAGCTACCTGGGAGACTGAGGCAGAAAGATCGCTTGAGCCAGGAGTTTGAGGTTGCTGTGAGCTAGGCTGATGCCACGGCACTCTAGCCTGGGCAACGGAGTGAGACTTTTTCTCAAAAAAAAAAAAAGAATTAAAACAGTGTCTTTATCCAAATGTTGGCCACAAGTTTAATGGAAGGAAAGGCAGTAATTTGAAGAAATAATAGCATCTTTCAGGTGCCAGTCTCCTAATTCAATGGAGCAGCATTTGTTAAGTGTTAACAGGCCAGCAGTCTATTCCTTAATCAATCCTGTCCCCTAATCCTCAACCTTGCTTTGGCCTCAACATGAATTTTGATGATTAGGTGGAAAGAGTACATAGTCCCTTATTTACTTTTTCAACTAATCTTTGTGGAGCAGTTACTATTACCTGGGTACTGGATAGAAAGAAGCAAACTTACTCTGGTTCCCCATTCTGCTGTGTGAGTTCAGGTAGGATACCTAATATCTCTGGAATTCAATATTTGACTATACTATCTCCATACTTTCTTTCTACTACGAAACCAGTTGCAAGCCTCTTTCATCGATCATTGCACCTTTTTCTCCGCCTCCACCTTCGAACAGAATTGTTGGAGTTCTGCTCCAACATTAATTCCATAGACTTGACTGAAGAAGACATTCAGAATTTCTACCCCCTGTTGTATTTTTCAACAAAGATTCCAACCCCAGCGGAGAGAGGGAATTATGTGTCACAAGTTTTGTAGGAGGAAAAACTGATTAAGAATCACAAGATTCCATAGCCCAAAGGAAGCCCTATTTTTAACAGAATAAATTATGAAAAGGGAAATTGACTTCTGACTTGTCAGCAAAAAGGAAATTGAAAAGCAAAGGGTGGTGGAGGAGAACCGAAGATACAAGACATAAAGAGAAGTTCTGCACCCCTCCCCGCAACCTTGGGGCTCCATACGGACCTTCTGTTGTCTGCCCTACAAACTCTAAGAAACTTCGGCAAAAGGCCCCACTTCCAGGAGTGTCAGGGACTCCAAAATACGAACTCCAAGGAAAGAGACAAAGTTGTGCGCGGTGGGGATTAATCGAGGCGGGCACCTTCTCCCCCAACCCAGCCCACTCCACTGGGAGACCCTGGCTGACCCAGACCACCCGAGGGACCCGCCCAACCCAGCCCGGGGGGCTCAGCGCGGCTCTGGCCCTGGCTTCCGCAGAGGGTGCGGGAACCTCGGGCGGGCCCAGGGCTCACCGCAGTCCTTGAACTGCACGGGCTCGGCCTGGGCGGCGGTGCTGAGCGCCAGGAGCAGAAATGCAGCGTCCAGGAAACTCATCGCGGATAAGGAGGTTCCAAGCTCGAAGACAGAAGACTCGGCGCCCGCGGTCACAAGATAAACCTATGGGGGTGGGCCCGGGGAGGAGCCCAGTCAGGCGACCTGTCACCAGCAACCACGGAGGCCCGCCCGCACCCCGCCCACGCCCCGCCCATGGCTCCGGGGAACCAGCTCCAGCTCGGTCCGGCTCAGAAGCCCACTATCTCCGCCAATCTTGTCAGCGCAGAGGTCATCTCCGGCCCCGCCCCGCTCCACCTCTTAGCGCTCTGCTTCGGCCTTATTGGTGCGTCTCCATTTCCGCAATCGGGAGCATTTCTAGCCAATCAAGCCCTTTCTCCCTCCGCATTACCCAATAGGCACGCTAGGGGGCGGGGCATCCTCGAGGACCCGCCCTCTGTCCCATTCTCCCGCCTCCAGAGGCCCAGGCGGTGCAGTTGGGGAATAAGGCGACGCGAGGGGCGGAGCTTGTGGCGAAGATGGCGGCCGCCCTGGGGTTGTCCCTGAAGGCTGCGGCCCTGAGAGTGATCACCCCCTGGCCGAAGGGCAGGTATCAAGGCTAGAAGGGCACCCGGGAGCGGTGTTAGGTTCTGCACCTCCAGGACAACGGGGAAATTAAGGCCCGCGGGGGAGGTGAGGGTTTGGTATGAGGCCGTCCAGATGGGGGTGTCCTGGTTTGGCGTGAGGCTGTCTCTCCAGATAAGCGTCTCCAGGTCGCCGTCTGCTCCTGGACTCATGCTTCTCTCTTGCGCCGCAGGCTTCTCGCGTCCTCCCTAGGACGTAAGTCGAGTTGGGAAGCGTCATCCTCCAGGCCCGAGGCAGGCGAAGGACAGATCCGCCTCACGGACAGCTGCGTCCAGGTAGGAGGCAGGAGGCAAGGCGGCGGTACCCAGGCGACCTCCCCTTCGTCAACTCTTTTAACTCCCATTACCTGGCAATCTTGATCCCCCTTCCTGCATTTCAGAGGCTTCTGGAAATCACCGAAGGGTCAGAATTCCTCAGGCTGCAAGTGGAGGGAGGTGGATGCTCCGGATTCCAATACAAATTTTCACTGGATACAGTTATCAACCCCGACGACAGGCAAGGAGGAAGGGGTGGGTCCTCAGAGGATGAACGGTAGGGAAAAAAGTGTCTCCAGTTTCTGGTGCACTTTTGTTTGACGTTTTAGAGGGTTTGCTAAGGATGGTTAACACTGCTCTTCTCACACAGTGAGGCTGCAGCAATGATTTGTTGTCTTGATTCAAAATAATTAAGCTATAAGAGAAAAATTGGCCTGTTTAGGTCTGTAGGGTAGTAGATAGAGAGTCAGACTGGACTAGATTCCAGGCCTAAGTCCTTAAACATTCCCCAGTACTCACTCCATTGAATCGGTTTGACCCAAAGAAAATCAGCACTTGTTAGAGGTAATAAGGAATTGTCCCTTTGTACTTCAGAAAACAGAGTATGTACACCTCTGGGCTCAGAGTGTGTTGGGTTTTTTGGTGCTTGTGATACTCATTAATGCCTTCCTCATGTCTTTTCAGGGTATTTGAACAGGGTGGGGCAAGAGTGGTGGTTGACTCTGATAGCTTGGCCTTCGTGAAAGGAGCCCAGGTGGACTTCAGCCAAGAACTGATCCGAAGCTCATTTCAAGTGTTGAACAATCCTCAAGCACAGCAAGGCTGCTCCTGTGGGTCATCCTTCTCTGTTAAACTTTGATGTGATCATTGGTGACCCTGAGATTGCCACCAGTTGTACCAATTTGAGGAAACTGGGATTAGCACAATTCTAGAGGTTTCCTTCTAATCATGTCCCTCTCTTAATTTTATTTCCCTCAGTCCAGGAGTATTGCGTTTTGCCACTATTATTTTCAGAATGTGAAGCTTTTACTCTTGGCTTAATTCTGCATCCCTCCCTCCGACTGCCAATGCTAAGGCCAAGCCTCCAGATGCTGTTACCTCAGATTTAATCACTGGTTGAAACTCTGTTATAATTTATAGAGCCTCCAAGGCTCCAAAATTTGGAGTTACTTCTCTGGCCTTCAGAACTGCTTATACATATGTGTATAGCTGTGTGTAAAGGTTCATTTTAAAGAAAGTCCTTATTTACTTGTGTTTTGGATCAGGGTTACAGATTGGGTTGCTTGAACACCAGTCACTAGAGAGAATAAGAAAAACAAATGAAATATTCTCTTTTTTCATTTCACCCTGCCTGAATGTGCCACTTGACTTATCTTTATTTATTTATTTTTTTCTCTTGTGTCAGACTTTTTTTTTTTTTTTTTTGAGACAGAGTCTCACTCTGTTGCCCGGGTTAGAGTGAGTGCTGTGCCATCAGCCTAGCTCACAGCAACCTCCAACTCCTGGGTTCAAGCAATCCTTCTGTCTCAGCCTCCCGAATAGCTGGGACTACAGGCATGCACTACCATGCCTGGCTAATTTTTTCTATATATTTTTTAGTTGGCCAATTAATTTGTTTCTGTTTATAGTAGAGACGGGGGTCTCACTCTTGCTCAGGCTGGTTTTGAACTCTTGACTTTGAGCGATTCGCCCGCCTCAGCCTCCCAGAGTGCTAGGATTATGGGCGTGAGCCACCATGCCTGGCCTATTTTTTGTTTGTTTGTTTGTTTGTTTTGTTTTTGTTTTTGTTTTATGGCAGACTATTAATCATTCAAACATTCATGGGTCAGAACACTGAATGTAGACATAGCCTCTCCTCTCTCTGTCACCTAATGACACAAATGTGACACAGCACCCACATCTGCAATGCCTCTAGGAGAAGTTATCTGTATTTTCCATGCAGCCCATTCTCCACTTCCCATTTGAAAGGGCAGATACATGTTATTCTCATACTCATGGATCAATATGTAATAAAACCAAGAGCCCATTACCCAGAAATCTTAGACCAAACTCTCATTGATATATGAATTATCTGGAAAATAGCCTACTTACTCCATACTCATACAAACATTTCAAGATTCTGTGACAATTTAGTGACTGAATCTTTTTAGCATATGTTGCTTCACCTATCTTGTGGCATAAAATGTGTCTGGTTTCATGCATAGCAGCAAGCAGTCCCTTTGTTGGTATAGATAATAGATACTTGGGACCTTCTCTAAGATTGACTTACTAAGTGAAATGCAGGATACTCAGTTAAATTTAAATTTCAGATAAACAACAAATACTTTTTAGTATAGTGTGTCTCATGTAATATTTGGGACATAGTTTACTAAAAAACTTACTCATTGTTTACCTGAAGTTCAAATTTAACTGGGCATCCTGTATTTTTATTTGCTAAATCTGGCAACCCTACTTTAGGGTCATCAGAAGTTTTTTAAACCACCACAAGTTCCAGTGGATTAAAGTACTTGTTTAGGTATGGCACTTAAATAGGCTACAGAGCTTGAAATGCTGGGATCCCAGTACTATATGGACAGACAACTAAAAGAAGAAAAAAAATCTGCCACTATCACAACAAATGATTTATTTTTTGTTTTTGTCTTTTTGTTTTGTTTTTGTTTTTGTTTTGAGACAAGGTCTCATTCTGTTGCCCAGGCTAGAGTGCCATGGCATCATCATAGTTCACAGCAACCTCAAACTCCTGGGCTCAAGCGATTCTTCTGCCTCAGCCTCCTGAGTAGCTGGGACTACAGGTATACACCCCCATGCCTGGCTAATTTTTCTGTTTTTTGTAGGGACAGGTCTTCCTTTTGCTCAGGCTGGTCTCTAACTCCTGGCCTCAAGTGATCTTCCCACCTCAGCCTTCCAAAGTACTAGGATTACAGGCATGAGCCATTGTGCCCAGCCACAAATGATTTAATACGAATGTTGGGGAAGCCACAGTCAAGTTGATTCTGCACCATTATTGGTTAAATGTATCTTTTGCCTGGGAGCCTACAAATTTGTTACAGTAAGCATTTGCATTTCTGAACTGGATTGGAATTAAGGTCATTTAGTAAGAGAATTTACTATTAAAAAATGGAAATAGTTTAGAAACAGAAAGTATCTGAGGGAGAAGCTTACTTATATTTTCACTGTAGGAAAACCTAGGATTTAGAGAAAACAAACCTATCATGTGATTAGAAGAAAGAAGGGGACATTCAGAAACCTGAGCAAATTTCTCAGCTGCCATGGAAGGAGGCAGAAAGCAGCACACCATGGAAGCATGTGTGTACACACATTTCTAAGACAAAGTTGCTGCCAGGCCAGGCATGGTGGCTCATGCCTGTAAGCCTAGCACTCTGGGAGGCTGAGGCAAGAGGATTGCTTTAGGTCAGGAGTTTGAGACCAGCCTTAGCAAGAGCGAGACCCTGTCTCTACTAAAAATAGAAATTAGCCAGACAGTTAAAAATAGAAAAATCAGCCAGGCATGGTGGCACAGGCCAATAGTCCCAGCTACTTGGGAGGCTGAAGCAACAGGATACTTTGAGCCCAGGAGTTCAAGGTTGCTGTGAGCTAGGCTGATGCCACGGCACTGTAGCCTGGGCAACAGAGTGAGACTCTGTCTCAAAAAAAAAGCTGCTGCAAATACCTGGGCCTAATGAGATTTCCAGTTCAGGTTACCTAAAGCCTTTCACGCTCCTTAAAAAGAGATTTTGCTATATTTTAAATGTTAGAATCTATTCTTCCAGAATATTTTTGTGGCTTATTTATTAATTTGGTGGTTTTAAAACTCCTGCCGAGCACAAGCAGAATAATTTTAGTTGCTAAATAAATAAATCATTAAATTGCAGTGATCAACTAGGCAGAAACAGGGTCCTTTAGCATGCAGAAGACTGTATGTATACTTACTGTTAAGGGGAGAATTGAAGTTTTGTGTTTCAGAAAAGGTGGATTTGGGGAAAGTCACTTAACTTCACACTGAGAAAGTTTCATGGGGAAACCAGAAGTGGTAACAAGAAGTCTCCATTGGAAGGAGATGATTTAGGAACGCAGGGCATGGGGGAGTAATAGCCCCAAGGGAACACGGCAATTTGCTTGGAATAAACAGAATGCATGGTAAAGTGGCTTTAAAATCTTCTGCAGGCCCTTTCTGACCAGATACCCTCTTCCTGATGGCCCATAAAAGCCAGTCGTCATTTTCACAACTTTTGCTCACTGTGTAAATTCATTTAGGAAAACTATACTCTTCCAGCATTAACTGGAAGATCTTTTATCTTCCCATTACTTTCAAGGGAAGGTTGTCAAGGTCTTAGTTATTACAGGCTGGCATTATTTAACTTTTTTTTTTTTTTTTTGAGACAGAGTCTCGCTTTGTTGCCCAGGCTAGAGTGAGTGCTGTGGCATCAGCCTAGCTCACAGCAACCTCAAACTCCTGGGCTCAAGCAATCCTGCTGCCTCAGCCTCCCAAGTAGCTGGGACTACAGGCATGTGCCACCATGCCCGGCGAATTTTTTTTCCTATATATATATTAGTTGGCCAATTAATTTCTTTCTATTTATAGTAGAGATGGGTCTTGCTCTTGCTCAGGCTGGTTTCGAACTCCTGACCTCGAGCAATCCGCCCGCCTCGGCCTCCCAGAATGCTAGGATTACAGGCGTGAGCCACCACGCCCAGCCTATTTAACTTTTTATTCATGCCACTGCCTGGGGCGTCGCACAAGGACCAAAGACAAGTGATCCCCGAATCTGCTTTATTTTGTGAATCAGCTTTATGTTGTTGATTCAAAAAGGGGGCCTGTTGGTCAATGTCCAAATCTTACTGTGGTATCTCACTTCAGTTATGGGACGGTAGTGACAAGTGGTGTGTGAGCTGTCTGTGTCCCACCCACCCTTAGTTTCTTTGTGTGGGAATATTGACTGATTACTAGGGATTAGGAGGAGAAAACCAGTTCAGAAGAGATTAGGAAGGACTACTGAAGTAGGTGTCCAGGAAGATACTCTTCTTTCTGTACCTTTCTTATGAGAATTGAGCCTTGTTCTTTTGTTTTTTGTTCTTGAAACTCCTGGCCTCAAGCGATCCTCCGCCTTGGCCTCCCAAAGTGCTAGGATTACAGGGTGAGCCACCTCACTCAGCCCTTTTTGTCTTTTGTTATAAGGCATTAGTGTGCAGGGCTGACATTGGCAGGAGCAACCTTGTATAACCGAGGTGGGCTGATCAGATGGTATAGCTCTCCCTGAACTCTGGCCCCCAGCTGATGTGCAGCTGGCCTAGGGCAAGGCCTAGCACTGACTTCTGCATGTTTGTCTGAAAGGCAGGAAACTCCTCTACTTTGGTATGTAGCATTGATGTTTGTGACTGCTCTTTAAAAATCCCTGTTTGCCATTCTTTCTCCATAAAAATGCCATAGGGCTGCCTAACAGAAATTGGCTTTAAGAAATTTTGAAATAATTATCACCTGGCTTTAATTGTGAATTATAGTCAGATAAGTATATAAAGAGAGGGAACATATAAGCAGTCTGTGACCAGTAGCTGTATTTAAAAATATTTTATTTTTTTGAGTAGGTAATACATATGGTACAAAATTCAGAAAGATACAAAAAGATACAGCAAAAAATCTCCCAATCCTGTACCTATCCATCCTGTCACCCTTCCCACAAACTACCCTTGTTTCTAAGAATTTATCCCACAGATAAACTCCCATAAATATAATGTGAAATAACATGTGCACAAGAATATTTATGACAGCATTATTTATAATAGCAAAAGATAGGAAACAATGGAAATGTCTGTCAATGAGGGACTGATTAAATAAATTATGGTTTATCCAGTCTGTGGAATAGAATACAGCTATAAAAGGGAATGAGGGAGCTTTATTTGCAGGTATAAAGTGAAAAAAGCAAAGTGTAGAATGGCATGCATAGTGTGCTATTTGTGTTTTTAATAAAGGAAATATGTGTGTATGTATGCAATATCTCTGGAAGGACAGGTAGGAAGGTGAGGGTGGAAGGGCTAGGGGAGCACTGGGAATAGTATTTAAGAAGGTCCCGTGCCTGCAGGGTATGTTTGGGGAATGGTAAGATATTCTCTGAATGGTGGATGTAAGGCAGTGTGGCAAGGATGAGGTTAGCAGATAACCACTTCTTTTTCCCCTTTCTTTAGACAAATAGCAGCATATATCACATGCTGTTACACAACCTCCCTTTTCCCCTCAGTCTATTCTGGATATTTTTCTTATCAAAGCATTTAAAGCTACTTTTTTTTAAGGGTCCCATAAAAATTGTTTATAATCTATTTCTAATCTGCTATTACAAATAACGCTGTAATAAAAAACCTCTTACATATGTTATTTTGCCCTTGGTGTAAGTATATCTGAAGATTAAATTCCTAGAAGTGGAATTACTGGATCTAAGAGCTAGTGCTTTTATAATTTTGAAAGACATTGTTGTATTGTCCTCTTCAGAGGTTGTACCAATGTATACTCCCATCAGCTATTACGAGAGTGCCTATTTCTCCCAATGCTTGCCAACTAGGAATCTTAACAAATTTTTTGATCTTTGCCAGTCTGACAATTTAAAAAAGTATCTCAGAGTGGTTTTAAGTTGTACTTCTTTTATTATGAATGAAAGAATATTTTCATATGCTTAAGAACCATTTATTTTTGTCTATTGAAAACCAGTATAGTCACCTAGAGTAAATTATTCAAGCTTTCTGTGTCTTAATTTCTTCACCTGTAAATTGGGAATAAAAATGGTAGATAGGATTATTGGATAATTAAGTGAAATTTATGTACCATACTCAACACAGTGCCTGGCACAAAGCAAGCATTCAATAAGTTATATGATGGCTGACAATCAGAGGAGCAGGTAGGACAGGAGAGATTAAATTAAGAAAGTTGCATTCATTTCCATGTCTCCAGTCACATGGAGGCTTGTTCATTGACATTGCCATTCATCAGAGACATGCAAAGTCAGAGCTTTCCTTGTCTTTTCATAGTAAAGAAACTTTTCCCATTGGAACCCAATCACGGCCTATCAGCAGAACTGACCAGGAGGAGGTAGGCACAGCCTCATCTCTAATATTTAGACTTAGGCAACATGGTAAAGAAATTTGGTCTAATCTGAAATAAAAACAAGAACAGAAGAGCCCAGATGTACATTTCTTTATTCCATCATGGTTCTGAACTCCCAGCTAGCCTGGGCTGGAGTGAGTTTCTGCGTGTAAACTCAGAGGATGCCTGCCATCCATTATCTGAAGGGAAGGAGGGCAGGGGCTTCTGAGTAGAGGGGACAAACAACATTGGAAATCTGGCTTCCTTTGAACAAGACTACACCAGAAAATAGACCTTTTTATTTTTAGCACATCAAACTGGTCCTTACAAAAGGAGAGCCCAGAAGAGGTCTGTTTCCTGTAAGAAGCAGTATGTATGCAATCATGTTCTGTGGAGATGGGTGTTCTATCTTGTGGCATCCCTTGCTGCTGGTGCACAGGGGCTGCCACTGGGTGGATTTTGAATGTTAATTTACCAAAAGCTACTTAATATTTTCTTTAGGCTTGTATAAAGCCTTGGCTTCCCCTTTCTTATCAACTCCACGTATTTTTCGAATTGCCCTCTTGCTGCTTTCTCAGGCTCTTTGTTCCTCTTCATTTGTGCCTCTTACATTCAACAAGCTACTACCAGTCATGCCTCTCTGAGTGAGGGGTGAGGGGATCTTCTGCCACTCCCTGGGGCCAGAGAACCGGCTACAGGACGGAGATGGGGCACAATCAGGGCCCAGACCAGACTGGCTGAGTGGTGGCAATGGTTCTTGGGAGGGGGCATTGGGGTCAGTCTCCAAGCTCCCCTGAACCCTTTCTTGCTCCACAGATTCTGAAGGACCTGCCCAGGGCAGATGTAGCCTCTGTCCCAGTTGTGGAATCATCAAGATGATAGGTGGATCGTGGCTGGAAGGGGGTGTCTGCAGTGTGAGGCCACAGGGCCTTGCACATTTGCACAGCTCGAGCGGGTGGGCGAGGGCCATCCTTTGGTTAGCATCCCATAGCACGGCCAGGACAGGTGGTGGACTGGGCCTCCTGGCCAGTGGCTGAAGCATGAAAGCGATTGGTGGTATTTGAGCCAAGCAGGGGCATGGAGGCGGTGATGGAAGCTCACAGCCAGGGGCTAAGCTGGGCGAGATGAAGGCAGGCAAGGCTGAGCCTCTGGCCTGATGTCGTCATGGTGTCTTCCCAGCTAGGAAAGCATCCTCAAGGCCCCGGCCTGTGGCTGGAGGCCATTTCCAGGTAGCTGCCCACACTGACCCCTTGCTGCTACTTCTTGGCAGTGCAGTGTGGGGGTCCTGCTTCAGCCACATAGCCTGGGGAGCAGTGGCAGCGGTAGGAGCCCTCTGTGTTCTCGCAGGAACCGTGGGCACAGAGCACAGCAGGCCCATTCAGGTCCTCACACTCATTCACATCTAAGAGGGAGGGAAGGAGAGAGCTGTAGGGATCCCAAGTTACCTTTGGCCTGTGGCCTCTGGCCCATTGGTCACTAAGTTCTGTGACCCCTGCCCTGCAGTGGAATCCTAGGTATGACAGCCAGAGGCTGAAGTCACTTCCCAGAACCAAGCAACTCAAGGACACAAAGCAGAGGGCAGTGAGCTCATACTGTGCCCAAGGCCGTGTTCTCTTGTCCCTGCCTCTCTGTTGTCTCGGAGCCTCCATGGAAGGGGCTTTCTAAGCACAGCATCAGACCTTCCTTTGGAGCTCCTCACCCCCAGCCTGACGCAGACGGCCGCACTAGGGGGCAGCAGAGGACTGTTGAACCACCCTGTGTCCGTCGCTCTGCGGGCAGCGGGCCAGTCTGCTGCGGCAGGATTGAGACTTACCCACGCAGGCCATGTGGGCCGCGTCCAGCTGGAAGCCCTCAAAGCAGTCGCAGGTGTAGCCCTCCCGCACGCGCACGCAGCGGCCGTTCTCACAGCCGTTCAGCACGCCGCACTCCTCCGCCTGCAGCCCTTCGAAGGCGGCCGGGGGCTCTGGTGGGGGAGTCAGAGCGAGAGGGAAGCTGAGGCCTGTGTCGGGACCCCAACCTCTCCAGTGCTGGGACCCTCACCTCCAACACAAAGGGTTGCCCCTATTGAACTGTAGGGATGGGGTGGGGAGGGTCACAGAATTCTCGCAGGAAGACGCTAGAACAAAAGGAATATTCTTAAAAAAAAAGTATGCCATTTGAGGTGAGAGAGAAGTATGGCAGAGCACTTTATTTATTTATTTATTTATTTTTTGAGACAGAGTCTCGCTTTGTTGCCCAGGCTAGAGTGAGTGCCGTGGCGTCAGCCTAGCTCACAGCAACCTCAAACTCCTGGGCTCGAGTGATCCTTCTGCCTCAGCCTCCCGAGTAGCTGGGACTACAGGCATGCGCCACCATGCCCGGCTAATTTTTTTCTATTTTTAGTTGTTTGGCTAATTTATTTTTACTTATAATAGAGATGGGGTCTGGCTCTTGCTCAGGCTGGTCTCGAACTCCTGAGTTCAAGCAGTCCTCCTGCCTCGGCCTCCCAGAGTGCTAGGATTACAGGGGTGAGCCACCACGCCTGGCCCCAACACAGCACTTTAAATGAGGGCTCCAGTGAGGTTTGGACTCACCGCTTTCGTCATTCCCAGCTCCTGAGCAGCCGGGTGTTTCCATATGGTTCTGGGGCTAGGGTATGGTTGGGGGGTATTTTGTTTAAATCTTTACATCATGTTTTCCGGGGGGATTGGCAGCAGAGGGGCTGTATTCAACACAAGGCAGAACTTCTGCCAGCTCTGCCTAACCCTCTTCTCTCTCTAGGCGCCCCTCCACCCTGTGCAAAAGGCTCTATACCCTGTGCAAAAGGCTCTATCCCCCGTGGCAGTACGGGTTTAATCAGTCTGCTGTGGTGGCTGTGCCTGTTGGGGGCGCTGTGTCCATGGCACAGGTGCCAGGCCCCACTTTCTCGTTAGAATCCCCCCTGAGTGCTGGAACCGTCACCATTCACAAACTGAGTCACCACAGCAGGCCTTTAAAGCCATTAGAAATCTGTAATTCCTATTTCAGGTCAAAGTTTGAATGCTGGGTCTCCTTGGAGCAGGTTATTCTGTGTCCTATAAGTGGTGTGGAGGGAGAGGAACAGACAGGAGGGAACCCGCTCTCTCGCTCACCACTCCCACAGGGAAGCTCGTGACAGCGTGCTGTGCCTCATTGTGTCCCTGCGCAGTGCATCACAGGGAGTCGTTAGGCTCTGACCCCCGCATATGGAGTTGTCTCTGGAGTGACCCATGAGCAGGGACTTCTGGCTTGGTTCATCTTTCCTGTCCTCACCCTGCAGCCCAGTGACTGGCAGGCAGAGGAGATGGAAGTGAAACAGCCTCAGTGCCCACCTCGTCCCCATTTTTGCAGCAACACAGACCTGGGTGGCTGGCCACGTAGTGGGGCTGGAGTTCTGAGGGCTGCAAGGGAGACTCAAGCACCAGTGTGTGGTCCCCTGGGTAGCTGGCCGTGTTGGGGAAGGGGGACTCGGGGACGGTGTCCTCAGGGCCCAGGTAGTTGTAGAAGGGGGCCCCGTCTGGGCCATAGAGGCTGTAGTGCAGGTCGTCGGGCCCAGGGCCATATTCATAGCCTGGCCGGAAGTGGACCCCGGCCTCCCGCTCTGCCTCGATCCGGGCCACGTTGCACAGCTGAGCATAGACCTCTGTCAGGGAGGACGGAGAGAGGGAGTGGGCTACAACTCCAGCTGGCTAAAGGGAACCAGCGCCCTCTGGGAGTTCCCAACAGCATTCCCCTCGCCAGGCCTCCCTGCACTACTTTGTCCCCAGACAACAGGGATGGAAGACAAGGCGGCTGCTGACTGCCCTGCTCTTCTTTCCAGCTCCCCCCCTTCCAAGGTGAGGGCGTCCCCCTCCCAGGGGCCAGGCCCAGCCCTGCAGGTGTCTCCCCTTCGCTCCCCCTCACCAGAGCTCCTGGGGGGGCACAGCGCACACTGCTGGCTCCAGGCCTCGCCGTCTTGGCAGCAGCATTCCGTGTAGGTGGTGCGGTGGCTGTGCAGGGGGTGGCTGCACACGTCACTGGTGACTTTTTTCCAGCAGACGTCCATGTGGATGTCGTGGTCAGGGAGGTCCTCTGGCGGCACAGGGCATGGAGGCATGTGAGCCCCCGAGCCCAGGTCCCCCTCCCCCGCCCCCCCGGCCCCGGCACCCAGGCCCACTCACCCGTGCCGCCCGTGCCGTTCACGCAGCGCTGCTGGCTGAGGTCCAGCATGAGCGGGGGGCTGCAGAAGCAGTGGAAGGAGCCCTCCGTGTTCACACACTCACCGTTCTCACAGACCATGTCCTGGCACTCATCGTGATCTGGGGTGGCAGGAAAGGGGGGGGCAGTGCCAAGGCCACCTCTCCACTGACTGCCCTCAGGGAAGGGGGTTCTCCTGTAACTGACGATGCAGAGGTAGCCCCCTGCCTCTCCCTCCCCAAGCCAGCCCAGCCTGGGAGGCCCTTCCCTGGGACACCTTTCCAACAGGTCCTTGGGGACAATCCCTGACAGGCCAGAGCTCCCAACTCAGACCTGCCTGCTGCAGCGGGCATCCTCCCTGGAAGGGGCACTTCCAGTGAGAATGGGACTGGCCGGCCGGGGCTGCGGGCCGGGGCTGGGGAGGGCCCGAGTGTGTCCTCACCCTCACACTTCCTGCGGGAGGCATTGTAGTGGTAGCCAGGATCGCACAGGCAGACGTAGCCGGGCACCGTGTTGAGGCACTGGCCGTTGGGGCAGAGCCCAGGCCCGAACATCACACACTCGTCGGCATCTGCGGGAGGGCAGAGCTGAGGTGAGGGGAAGGTGAGAAGCAGCATGAGGCAGTACTCAAGACCAGGGACTCCAAAGCCAGACTGGGTTTGAAGCCCAGCTCTGCCATTTACTAGTTGGGTGGCTTTGGGCAAGTTGCTGAAGTTCTCCTTGCCTCAGTTTCCCACATACTACTTAACCTTATACAGTTGTTATGAGGATTAAAAGGTGTTAATACATGTAAGGTGCTCAAAATAGTGCTCAGCACACAGCAAGCGCTCAAGGAAAGCTACTTCTGTTTCTATCATTTCCTTCTCAGCACAGGGACACCGAGGGGCTCAGTACCTGGACCACCCCAGTGTGAATATGGGTTCCCCAGAGTTTCTGGCTTCATACATGGGGCCAGGGAGACAAGCAGCTGCCTCTGGCCTCTAGGGCAGTACTCTCTGTTTTGTTCCTGTGCCAAAGATGGCTGGGGGTGGGGTTAATCAAGCCATCCTGTTCCTGGAGGGTGCAGCCTTGGGGGAGCAAGGAAACTGAGGCCAGGGTCATGTGGACACTCCAAGAGGAGCTTGGGTCAGAACTTCCAGCTAAAACTCTGCAGGGAGTCAGCCTTGGGACGGGGAAGATGGAAGCAACCTGGGAGGCCAGGGCTGGGTGCAGGACTCCTCAAGGGACCTCCTGGAAGACCAGGCCAGGCCCCACGCAGGTGGACGGAGTGTGGAGGGAGGGTACAAAAGAAGGTTACCTGTGTACATGGTCTGTCCAAATGTCCAGGCTCCTTCCACAGGGATGTAGCCTTTGCCACTAGGGCAGATCTCACCGAATTCAACTGTGCAGAGAGGTGTCTGGGCTCAGAGAGGGAAAGGCTCTGCCCCTTTCCTCTCACCCCTTCTCTCAGTGTCACCCTGCAGAGCTGACCCTAAGAGGAACTGGGACCTTGGGGCCTTACCTGAGTCCTCCGATGGGCAGAGGTCACAGGCATCTCCCCAGCTGGCGCCCTGGGTGCAGCAGCACTCAGCCTGTGTGGTGTTCCGGCCCAGGACACTGGAGCAGGGCGGGTGGCCGTTCTGCCTGGAGTAGCATTCCATGCGGAGGGGCTCTGGGGGGCGGTCCCCTGTCGGGGCCTCAGGGATACTCTGACCTGTGCGTGGTAGATGCCCCATACTGTTATACCTTCATGACTCTCTGAGGTACACCAGACCTTGAATTTCTTTCTTAAATTTAATATTTATATAGCACTTTACATTATGCAAAATGCTATTACCTGTATCACCTCACGTGCTGCTCTAACCCCTATGAAGTGGGTATCATTATCATTATCAGCTCCCTTTTATGGATGAGGAAGCCGGGGCTTAGAGAAGCTAGGCGCCTTGCCACAGCCACGTTGCTGTTAAGCAGCAAAGCAGGGATTTGGCCCCAGTTCCTCTGGTGCTATCATTCTGTTTCTAACGCTCTTCCCAGCATCCCACTTGCCTTCCTCTCCGGCGGTGGGATGACCTGTCCCTGGTGCACCACATGGCAGTCCTCTGACCTATTCTTCTGCCTCACATCTACCAGCACCTTCCACCCCGCCTCGTTCTCAGTCCTCTCCTTTCCAGGTCAGTGCAGGCCCCTGAGTCCTCGGCCAGCCTGGGTGAGAGGCTGAACCCAGCAGCTCTGGGGTGGGGTGGGAAGTGGAGGGGCCAGTTTAGCTCAGCTTCAAGTCCTCTCTCATCCAGAAGATTCCCAGGGATTGGATGGATTCAAGGTCCCTCCAAGGCTCAATCTGAGGTCCCTAGGGGCCACCCTAAGTCAGTGTCAGGGTTCCAGAGCCTCCTCAAGGGTCATCACAGCCCTGCCGCCTTTCTGGACATTGCCTGGCCTGGAGCAGACCTTCGGCCTCCACGCTCCATTCCCAGCCTCCCCTGCTCTGCCCCTGGCCCGGCCCAGTCTCCCTCCCAGCGGCTAGAGGCCCTGTAAGCCCAAGAGCCTTCATGGCCAATGACAAGAGGGGAGGGAGGTCCTTGCAGTCTCCTGGCCTCACCTCCAGCCCCCCGTGGGCGGCAGCGCCCCTCCTGTGCGTCATATTCCTCAAGGTCGCTGGCGCAGAGGCACAGGAAGGAGCCCTCCACGTTCTCACAGAGCGCGGCCCCGCACACCGCCAGCATGAGCTCACACTCGTTCACATCTGCGGGCATGAGGACAGGCTCGTGGGCGGGAAGAGGCGGTCCATGCCGCCCATTCCCCCCAGACAAACAGGCTGGGCCGTGGGGGAAGAAGTGAGATGGGTATGAATGAGCAGGAAGGAAGAACAGATGGACAGGATGTGGGAAGGAAGAGAGAAGGAGAGGAGTGGCAGAAAAGGGTCACAAAAGTGACAAAGAGGAAGGGGTACCCCTCTGTACACGTTCCCCAAACCTCGTGCCTCAGGGGCCCCAGGGGCTCTAGAGCAGGTGGCGCCTTCCCTACTGTGCTTGTTCCCCTGCTGGTGGAGCAGGGCCTGCTCCCCCGCCAGCCCGCAGGGTGCCCGCTGCAGGGGGCCTTGAAACCCTCCTCTTCCTTGAAGCCTCCCTTGCCCATGCTATGGGGACCTAGGATGAAGCCATGTGCCCAGGACTATTTCAGGAGGGGGCCCTAGGACCTTCCCTTCCCCAGACCTTGGGTCACCCAAAGGCTTCTCACCCACACAGTCCCAGCCTGAGGGCGAGATCTCGAAGCCCTGGTCGCAGAGGCAGCGGAAGGAGCCATCGGTGTTTTCACAGAAGCCGTGGCTCCCACACATGGTGTCGTTGGCACACTCGTCTATGTCTGTGGACAGTAGGCGGTGTGCGTGTGCAAGCGCACGTGCTCCCCCCTCCCTCTCCTGGGAATACTTATTTGGTCTATTAACACCCAGATCTGTGAAAAGCAACCTCTAAACACAGGACAAGAAAACTAACAGTAACATTCCTCTTCAATTTCTGTGTAAGCTCTGCTGTATGGAAAATACACAAACTTCGAACAGCTGCAGAAACAGTCCGCAGGAGAAAATCGTTTCTAGCTCAGTACATGAAAAATGGGCGTCCTCGGCCCGCAGGCCTCCAGCTCTCCCTCGTACTCACCAATGCAGTCTCCGTTCAGGGCCATGTGGAAGCCAGGCTGGCAGCCCAGGACACAGTGGTAGGAGCCAGGGCTGTTCTCACACTTCCAGGCCCCACACACGGCGTTTTCGTAGTCCTCACATTCGTCAATATCTGTCCCCAGAGTCACAAGAGGGGACAGAGGTGGCCAGGTCACTGCTCTCGTCCTACTTCGCTGGCATTACAGGGTCATGCCTCACACCCTCTGGGGTCCTTGATCTGTTCCAAATGACTGTGCTCATCTCAACCCCAGCACACCCGGTTTGGGACAATCGCCCCCCACCCAGCGGGGCTGAGCACGTAGGAAGAGAACTGCGTGCCATTCGGGAAGCACTTTATACTTCTCTGCATGTGAAACCTTCAGTGGGGTGTATGACAGAGCTGTCAGCATATCTGTCTCCCTTGCTCAATTTTAAGATGGTCTATAACTGTCTATTTGTCCTAGCAAAAGACACTGAATGTAGCAGGTGTTTAATAAATGTCTACTGAACCAATTTGGCTTTTAGATTGTGTGCTCTGCCAGCACAAAGATTATGACTGTCTTCACTTTGTCATCCTTGGACAGTCCCTGAGCCAGCAAAGGCTCAATAAATGCATTATCTATCAGATGATGAACTTGTGGCGAACACCTGCTTCTCGGGAGCTGAGGGACAGGAGGGTGGAGGTGGGCAGACTGAGGCAGAGCCCTGTTCTGTCCCGCAGAGCCCTTACCCACACACTCCCCGCCGTCTGGGGAGGGCTGGAAGCCAGTCTCACACACGCAGTCGAAGGAGCCCTCGGTGTTGACACAGTGCCCTCCCAGACACCGGTCTGGGTCGGCACACTCGTCCACATCTACAACAGAGATGCTGTCAGCAGACCCTGCCATGGTCCCTTCCCTGTTAGGGCCCCATGCAGCGTCCTTTGGGAGGTTAGGGAGTGGCTCAGGGTAGGAAAGGGCTGGAAGATCCGAGGGAGAGTCCAGAGCTGGAAACCAGAGGCTGGGCTGGGGGGAGGGTGCCTGGGGCAGCGGCTCTGACACTCAGAGTTTGGGCAGGGTGCACGCCTGCCGCCAACCTCCTGAAGGGGCCCCCCGCCCCCCCACGGCAAACACTGGCCTCCCGTCTTCCTATCCCCTGGTGGGCCCGTGAGCCTTTCATTTCAGTACTGGTGTCAAAATGGACTCGGCTCTAGATGTGGCCTCTGGCGCCCCTGCCGCTGGCCAGTAGCGTGCCGTGCGGGCCTCTCACCCAGGCAGCGGGTGCCCTGCTCTGCGCTGGCAAAGCCGGGCGCGCACAGGCAGAAGAAGGAGCCATGGCTGTTGAGGCACTCGCCGTGGGGCGCGCAGTGCTCCTCCCCCACGCACTCGTCCATGTCTGTGGGGAAAAGATGGGCAGTGGGTGTCTCCTGGGGATGTCCCCACCTCCCCACACACTCGCTGTCCCCTGTCCCCAGTGTGAGAGCTGGCCTACTCACCCTCACACACGGTGCCATTGGCCAGCTGGAAGCCCTGGGGACACAGGCACAGGTAGGAGCCTGCCACGTTCTTGCACTCGCCTCCCAGGCAGCTGCTCTGGGGGTCTTCACACTCATCCACATCTGTAGGGCACACAGGGGAGGAAGGCAGCTAGTGGCATCACCTCCCAGGACAGGAACCAAGGGGGGGGTCTCCAGAAGACCTGCCACCTGCATGTGGAGACTGGACCCGTAGGGAAATCATCCCCTCCTAAAGCAGCCCAGCTGGGAGGGGCGTCCGGGAGCCTGGAGGGAGCAGGCTGACTGCAGCTCCTTCCCCTCCCGACCACCCCCGCAGGCCCCTGCCTCTGGATGGGCTTCCCCACTGGCTCTCTCCCCCACTGGGGGGTTCTCACCTTCACAGGTGTGGCCCAGGGGGCTGGGCCGGTAGCCGCCATCACAGTCCTTGCAGGAGAAGGAGCCCACAGTGTTGGTGCAGACCCCCGAGGGGCAGACTCCCGGGAAGGCGCACTCATCTAGGTCTGAGACAGACAGACGGACAGACAACCTGGGAGGACTCCCTTCACCTGCTGATGCAGAACCTCACACCTCTGGCCTTCCTCTCTGAGCCCCTGGGGAAGGGCAGGCCCTGGCTGGGGGCCTTCTATAAGGCAACCCCAACACACCCTCCACAGAATGCTCCGGGGGTGGCTCTGCCCTCAGCTTCCCTCTTGTCTCTGTGACTCCCTTTTCCTCCTGTCCTCACCTCTGAACTTGGGGATTATGACAATAGAAGCTCTCCCTGGGGGTCCTCTAGTCCAGCCTGGAGGCCCTCAGCATCAGCCCAGAGCTGGGGGCAAATGGAATGTTCTTCGGGAGGTGAGAAGGCCTCCCCAGGTTACCTTCACAGGCAGTGCCATCCTCGTTCACCCAGTACCCGCTCTCGCAGACGGAGCAGGCGAAGGAGCCCTCGGTGTTGAGGCAGAGGCCTGCGGGGCATGAGGCCCGGCTGGCACACTCATCCACATCTGCAATGGGGCATCGAGTTCTTGTGGGACTCTGCAGCACAGACATGCCAGGACAGCCAGAGACGGACAGGTGGGCAGGGACAGGGAGAGGACAGGCCTTGGTGGGCGTGGCTGGGGAGGCAGGACTGGGGTGGCTGCTGGGGTGGGGGTGCCAAGGGGAAGGAGCAACGGGCTGGGCTGCCATAGAGGACAGGTGCTTTGGCACCTGTGTACCTTGGCAGCCCTTCTCGTCTGAGGTGACCTCGTAGCCGTGCTCACAAGAGCATCTGAAGGAGCCTTCCAGGTTGATGCACTTCCCGTGGGCACAGACCCCGGGGGTCAGACACTCATTCACGTCTGTGGGAGAGAAGTCCAAGATGGCAGCCGGCCTCTCCTCCTTCATGCAGCCCCCACCAGCAGGCTCTGAGCACCTCAGTTATGGGGCCAGGGAGCCAGTCTTCAGCGGGGCCGTAGGCCACCTGGGGGACCCTGAGGCCGTGCTCCCTCATCCCACCTATGCAGGGCACGGTGCCCTTTGTCCCGGGGCTCACTTCAGCCCTATGTAGTAACACAGCGCCCTGCTTACATCCTGAAAAGGGGGTCAGGTTCCCCAGCCCTGGAGCTGGGTCGGCCCATCTGAGGACACTGGAATGAGGTGTCCGAGACCCTTGACTCACCTCATCGTAGCTCTGAACCTCTCCGGCCTCCTACCTGCCAACCAAACAACCCGTGTTCCCAGCCCAACAGCCAGCTTCAGCGGTGGGCGGGCGGTGGGGAGGGAGGCCAGGCCGTGCCTGGGTGGCCGGGTGGCAGTCTAGAGGGCCTGGGAAATGCCTGCCCTCTCCAGAGCCTCAAAGCGTCCATTCAAAACTCAGTCCCTCCTGGCATTCTGAACCCTGGGCCCCTCTTCCTGAGGGGGCTGAGGAGAAAAAAACACTCCTACTCCTGGGTAAGCTCCTTCAGGGGGGAGCAGGGCACCCACCCCCCAGGAGGTGGTGCTGCTTGGACATTGCTGTGGAGATATGGGGGGCAGAAACCCTCCTCCCGGGGAGCTGAGGAAGGGCCTGCCTGCCAGCTCTCGCCACTGAAGTCAGCTCCATCCTGAGACCCTTAGGCTCCTCAGCCCACTCCCTAGGATCCAGCCACAGAAGCTCCTGGGACTTTGGGTTATAGCTCTAGGATGGATATGGCCGAAGAGCAGAAGAGGCCTCTGCCCTAGCTGATTCAGAGGCAGAGCACCAGTAACCGAAGCACACCCACCTCATGCCCACGCTGTCTGGGAACTGAGCCGGATCACTGTGTACAATAGCCTCCGAGCCACTCCCCTCTGCCCACGTTGTTCCCTCCCTGTGTGTGGGCCCCACCAGCAGTCCCAAGGCTGAACAACCCTCCTAGCGTCTTGGCAAGCAGACCTCACCTACGCAGCTCCCGCTCTGGCCCCTGTAGCCCTCCTCACAGGCCACGCAAGTGTAGGAGCCAGGGGAGTTGACGCATCTCCCATCAGGGCAGGTGCCAGGGTGACGGCATTCGTCAATATCTGCAAAACAACAGCCCCTCCCTTGGTCATCTCTGGGAACCACAGCATGTGGGTAGGCCTGTGACAAAGCAAATCCTTGACCCTGCCCTTGGTTGAGGGGAAAGATGTCAGTTTCCGTGCAGATGAAAAGAAGGAAAAAAATGAGAGTTACCCTGTGTTCCCAACTCCACCTCCCACCCGTTGTCCTGGACAAAAGGGAGAAATGGAAGAACTTAAAAATTAGATGGGGAGACTCCCTGGGTGGATGCAAAAGGCTGTGGTTACCACGAGCTGTGGGAGGATCAGAGAGCTCAACTTTGTGAGCTGGGCTCTTTGGGATGGGCTTTCCTATCTCCCTTGGGGAAAACCTAATCCTTTGTAGGCAGAGACAGTTACTGGAATTGGACGAGCTCGGCACAGGAACTGGCTGGACTGCTGCCAGGGCCCCCAGAATAGATACCCAGGGGGCAGTGAAGGCAGAATGGGCTTCCCTGCACCAGGAAATGAGGACCAAGGATGAACCTCCCAGACCAGTCCTGAGGCTGAGAGCAGACCGAAGGGTGGAGGCCAGCAAGATTTCTCTGCTGGAGAGGTGTCATATCTTAGTCCAACCAAGAACTAGGCAGGGCTCATGCCACATACTCTGGTGAGACCCAGGAAAGTCGGCCAGAAAGGTTGAGCCTGGACACCAACAGGACAGACAGGGAATGAGGGGACCCACAGAGGGAGAGTGACAACAGGAGGAGGAAGGAGATACTTCCCCCAGGAGCTGAGGGGAGGGCTAGTCCCCATGTGACCTGGCATGTCAGGGAGTCCATCACCAAGGCACCCAGGGGACCTGGACTACATTAGGGAGGTCATATCACAGGGCCTGAACCTGCTCAGAACTGCAGGAGGATGTTCCACCAGCTCCACGTTGAGACTCCTGGTCATCCTTCATGATAGACAGCTTGGCCAAGCTCCAGGGCAAATGGGAGGATTTATTCTTTCTAAATGGGTAGTGGTCATTCTCCTAGAAGAGGTCCACCAGCTTATGCAGATTCAGAGGCGCTACTGCCTGGGAAGAAGAACTACCCGGCACCCATGGCGGAAATGCAGAACCCTGGCCACGGGTCAGAACACAGGCTTTCTGCAAGGTCACTAAAGCTAGCAGCTATTATTGCAGAACAGGACTTGGACCCTACGGTGGAGGGTGAAAACGAGTCCTCTCTGAGGTTGTTTGGTTTCCTGAAGTCAGGATGCATCAAAGCCCTCTGCCCCATGGGACTGGGATCCTCTGAAGCCTGAAGCTTCACCCTGAGGGTCCAGAAGAAGGAGATACACCACAGGGAAGGTGGTTATCTGCAAGAAAATGCCCCCAACTCCTAGGTAATCTTGGGGACACTGAGGTAAGGCTCATCTCTGGAAAGAGGGCAACCACAAGGCCCTAGTAGGTTTTCAGTGACACTAGGCTAAGTTATTTTAAGAGTTTTGGTAAAGACAGAGCTGGAGAGACAGTGAAGGATCTATGATGATCAACTTTTGTGGCCTGGGAGAAAGCAGCCAGCACCACGGCCTGCTGGCCTTGGCAGTGATGCCTAGAGGAGGATGGGCAAAGCCCTTGGGAGTGACAAGCAAGCCATGCTTCAGGATGCCTGGCTTTGTGGACAAAGAGGAAGAGATTGAGGCAAAGATCTTCCTAAATCCATGCCAAGAAGAAATGAAGTCTTTGCACATCTCCCACAGGGACCAGGCAATGCAGGGAGGAGATTAGGTTTACCAAGAGCAAAGGGCCCTGAGGTCTGCTCTGCCCCAAGCGCGCTGGGCACATTTTGGAGGTGGTGTGTGAAGTGTCCTAATGCTGGGCATTTAGGAGACTTGTGGTGCTCACTAATGCTGTCCATGAATTATTCTAGCTCTTCACTTTCTGGGCCATGGTAGGCTTGTGCCTCCTAGTCCCTTGTGATTAGGTGGGGCCATGAGACTAGTGCTAGCCAGTGAGCTGTGAGTGGATATGACACGTGTAATTTATGAACCAAACCATTTAATTGTGTATAACCCTCCAGGATGCTCTTTCATTTTTCCATGGAGACTGGCCAGATTCCAGATACTGGCTACTCCTTTAGCCTATGTCTCAAGTGAGGAAACATGGGACAGAGATGGAAACTTGTATTCTATATCACTAAGATTGGGGCTGTTTGTTACTGCAGCATAACCTGGTCTATCCTGGCACACTGCTGGCTTCTTCCTTCCTCAGACCAGAGCCCCAGCTGCGGAGGGGGAGGGTAGGTGATCACAGCAGCCCTGTCTCCACCTGAGCCAGGGAAGAGCTCTCCTGCGTGGAAGTGGACCCAACTGAGCCATTATCCACACTAACCCAATGGAACTAGATGAAGATTCTGGATGGTTGATTTTGTCCCTAGATATCCTGAGGCTGTTCCATCAACCTCTTGGTACCTGGACTGGAGCCAGTCCCCAGCTGCAGATATTTCTGCTTAGTGCAGGGGTTGAATGTTAATCTAAGACAATGGTATGTTTGGTGGGTTTTAATACTCTGGTCAATGGGGGCAGGAGCTATCTGTCCTATTTATTGCTCTATGCCCAGCCCATGGCTGACACATGGCTGGCACTCAACAAATGTTAGCTGACCAAAGAATAGCATGATGTGTCTCCAGCTTCACACATCATCTTCTTGGTATAAAGCTGTTGAAGAAACCTCAAAGGACCCATGCAAACAGTCACCTGCAGGACCAGCTAGACCGGGAAAATCCTGGAGTTTCTCCTATCAGGGCTCAGCCCTGGAATGAGGACATGCATAACCACACACCTCTATTCCTTGTGGCAGCATGGGGCGGGGGTGGGGCAGGCACTCAGGCAGGGGCCAGAAGCTCAGGTGACCTTGGATAGGGGTGAGGCACAGCAAAGGCCCTGGGAGCTTGTAGGGGAATCTACCCTCTGTCCGTGGGAACCCACAGTCCTGGTACGACGGAAATGCCATGGAGACTATTGGATGGGCTGCTGGCCAGACCACTGAGTCTTTCACCAGAGACTTTGAGTTTCAGTGGAGAGAGTGGTTTTTCAGTTGGAGGAAGAAGAAAGAAGGAGAGGAAATTGACTGGGCTTGCAGGGTGATGGGCCGGGTTTGTGGTTACTGATGGAAACCTGGAGAAGTGTGCAGGCTACATCATTCTTTCTTTCAACAGACTCAGGGTGTCTGTCCTGGGCCAGGAACTCAGCCTGACCTCCTAGATGAGGTGTGTGTCTAGAATTTTTCCCTAGGAAGGGAAGAGGACAATCCAGAGGAGTGGGCTGAGGTGTGAGGGGAGTGTGGACGTGAAAAAGAACAACCCTCTGATAGTAACAGTTCCCCCTAGTTACTGAGGGTCTGTGTGTGCCAGAGACGGGGCCGAGTGAGCACTTTGCATATTTTAGCTTATTCCGTCCTCACAAGCATCTCTGAGATGGGCACTATGGTTTCCATTTTCAGACACTGAGACAAGAGCCAAACCCAGGCCTGTCTGTGCCAGAGCCTGTGCCCTGAACACGGACTGGTTAATATAAATCTGATGTTTTTCATGTTCTGGTATTTTCTTGGTTCATTTCCGTTAGTCTTGATTTTCTTTTTAATCAAGTTAAATGTCAAATTCATAATGTTGTTGTGTTGCTTAAATGAGGTGATCTGTCAAGGCCCCAGCACAGCCACCAGGCATCTACCAAATGGTGGGTGTCTTCACTCTCCATCCTCCTGGCAGTTGCCAGGCTGTCATGTGTCCACTGTGCTAATGAAGACAAAGGGCGTGGGTTCTGGCATTGGTCATGGGTAGGCCTGAGTTTTAAAGGGGAAGAGCATGAAGGAGGCATTGAGAGGAGGAGGGAACACACCGGGGTGGGGGCAGAGTCACCTGTCCTGCACCTGCAGCCCCTTTCCCCTGTGCTAAGACCATCTAGGATTCTGGACTTTGCTCCCATGGTAGTGGCATTGGGGGTGGGGGGACTGTCCCTTCACAAGGTACAGGAGCTCCTCCCTCACCTCCAGAACCATCTGAAACCAGGCAAGTCCTGGCCAGGGAAACCTGGAGGCTGGGAGGAGTCTGAGCCTAAGCCCAATCCAGGGCAGAGTTTTCCCAGAGAGCCTTAATTTTTTTTTTTTTTTTTTTTTTAGACAGAGTCTCACTTTGTTGCCCAGGCTAGAGTGAGTGCTATGGCATCAGCCTAGCTCACAGCAACCTCAAATTCCTGGGCTCAAGCAATCCTGCTGCCTCAGCCTCCCAAGTAGCTGGGACTACAGGCATGTGCCACCATGCCAGCTAATTTTTTCTCTATATATTAGTTGGCCAATTAATTTCTTTCTATTTATAGTAGAGACAGGGTCTCTATCGCTCTTGCTCAGGCTGGTTTCAAACTCCTGACTTCGAGCAATCCACCCGCCTTGGCCTCCCAGAGAGCTAGGATTACAGGCGTGAGCCATCCTGCCCGGCCTCAGAGAGCCTAAATTTACCCTCATTTATTCCTGTCTCAGCCAGTCTCAAGAGCACAGGATCTAGGCCTCCTTCAAGCCTGTGACTTCCCAGCCTGTCAGGGTGGCAATGGTGGCAAAGCTGCCAGGAGGTTTTCAGAGCTGGCATGAGAGTTCCAGGCTCAAGTCAGCAGGGAGGGTCTGTGAGGACACCAGTTAGCAATGTCACAGTGCCTTTGGCTGTATCTGGGGAAGGGACAAGGATCTGGGATCCCACATTCCTTCTTCCCTTGATTTGTTCAACTAGCACTGTTGGGTGCTTCTCAGGTGTGCATGCCTGGATTGTCTAAGGATATGGTCCAGCCTCAGGGGCTGCCAGTCTAACAAGCTTCAGCAAGAAGCCCAAGACTCCTAGGCAGACTGACTTCCTCTGCCACACGAGAAGAGCACATTTTTCAAGGTAAGAGGGCAGGAGTATACACAAGAGATGTTCCTAAGGTATCATGTAGATAATGGTATTTGTGCTCCCCCACTGCATGGGGAAGACAGGATGCCAAATTTCACTGAGGGGATGGGAGGGCTCAGGAATTTGTACACATGTCTTCATTCATAGGGATCGGCTCAAAGGGGAGTTGGTGGTAGACAGTACATGGGCAGGGCCCAGTAGACGGTGGGGTACAGGCTGCCTCCCTTCTTCCCATTTCTTACCTTGGCATTGTCCTTTTCTGACCATGATGTAGCCCTGATCACACTCGCAGTGGTATGAGCCCTCGGTGTTGGTGCACTGCCCCCCACTGCACACTCCTGGCTGCTCACACTCGTCCACATCTGTGAACACACGTGAAAAGCCCTGAGTCACAGCTGGCCCTGGAGGGGGTCCTGGGGCATCCCTTCAATGGCCGAGGACAAGAGCACCCATGCTGAGGCCCAGGCGGGGAAGGCGTCCTTGCTGCAGCCACACTGGCTGGACAGGCTCTCAGCCAGGTGTGAGACTGCTATAGCTCAGTCCCCTGATAAGCCCTGAGCACCTTTCTCCCAGGGAGGCAACTCTGGGGCCCGTGGGGGCCTCTCAGTGTCTCCTCACCCTGATGCAAGGGCTGGTCTTGAGGTCAGGTGGCAGTCCATGAGGCATGGTCTGAGTGTTGGAGCAGGAGACTGGGAGATGGGGCTGACACTGCATGCAGGGGCTTGCAGAGTGGGGGCAGGTGCTAAAATAAATAACCCTTAAGCAGAAACTAACTAGAGGGGCTGATAACCATGAGCAAGAACCAGCTTCAACCAGCTTGTCAGCTATCTCTGCCACCTGACATGAACTTTGGCTAATTACAATATCATTTACTTTGTGGTTTTAAAATTTCTCTACCCCTGAAATCACCGTGACAGTTCGAGACAACCATATAAAGTATGAAAATGGGAGGGAACCCAATTCTGGGAATTCCTACTCAAATTCGTAGTAAAAGCCAACCCCTTGGTTGTGAATATTCATCCCCTCAATTAGTAAGACTTCAGAAGACCAAAAACCACTTCCTCCCTGGGCAGCCGCTCTCTTTCAAGCCTGCCCATTCTGAAAGTACACTCAGAGTGTACTTTCGCTTACATAAATAAAAAATAAAAAGCTGTTGCTTGCTTGGCTTACGTGGTGCTGTCCTGAAATTCTTTTCCTGACGATCACCAAGAACGTGGAAAAACCTCCACTTGGAGGCTGCTGACATGAGGAGACCAGGAAAGTCCCCACCTGGCCCCAATACATCCCACTTGGGCTGTTCCTAGAGTTCTTCTTAAGGATCTCCTCTAAAGTTAGGAGTTAAGCAGCCAGTGAGAAAGAGCAATTTAGACAGCCCTGCATTTGCAGGGTGTTGTTTATGTCATTGTTCCAAAGCATACTGGCGCCCCATGATGGCTCTAAAGCCCAACCTTGGCCATGCTACTCTCCTGCTTAATCCCCTACCAGGGCTCCCCTACCAGGGCTCCCCTACCAGGGCTCCCACCACTTCCAGTCCTGCTTGCAGCCTGGCTCACGGAGCCCATGCCACCTGGGCCCAGACTTGCTGTATTTGCTGCTTTGCATGTGCCCCTTGGAATAGCCTTACTAAAGCAGATTTCGCTGGTCCAACCTCTGAGACTTTGTTCACACAAATGCCTCTACTTGGAGTGTCTTTCCTCACCTTGTTGGCCATCAGATTCCTACTCCCCTTTCAAGGACTGTTTTAACTCTGGGTCTGTATCAACTCTGGGTCCTACTGCCACTCCCCATTCCCTGCCCCACAGTCAAATTAATTGAGGCCCCACCTTTGGGCTATCCCCACCAAGCCTGGACTGGTTGAAACACTTCACAGAGTCCTTGTGCAGATTAAGTGAGATAATCCAGGTCAAGAGTTTAGCACAGTGCCTGCCTGGCCCCAGGTAAACACCGAAGAAATGTTGGCTATTATTAATATCCTAGCTTTAAACCCAGCCCGTAAAGTCAACGCTGCTCAGCCTGGCATGGGGGATTTTTCATGACCTGTCCTGGGCCCACTTCTCTCACCTCATTTCCTGCCTCGCACACTGCTCCTCACCTTGGCCACACAGGGCCTGCTTCTGAGCTTCTGTGCTGTCCCCTTGCCTGGAGTGGCCACCCACATGACTTTTTCCCACCCGTCTCTCGATGAGGCTGACCTTGCCCCTCCAATCCAGGTGCCCCTTCCCAGGGCTCCTTAGAGCCCAGCCCTTAGTGTGACTGTCCATTCACTCTCTCATTTCTCCCTCGCTGCTGGGAACATGTCTGGTTATCCCAGTGTCTGTGGGCCCATCACAGAACCCCAATAAGCGCTTATCAAAGGAATCGAATAACAGCCATTTGTTCATGGACAGTGTTCATCTGAGCAAGGCGTCATAAAACTCCTGTCCACAGCAGAGTCACTGCAGAGGTGTAAAATGCACACTCCTAGGCCTCCAGCAATGCTGGCCCAGCAGTGCTGGGCGGGCCCAGGAACCTGCATTGTTATAACTCCTCAGGCGATTCTGAAAGAACCGATGCTCTCTTTGGGAAGATCTAATCCCTATGGAAGAGGACAGGGACTCGTGGGCTGAGCCATGTGTGGGAATTTGGTGAAGAACGCATTAACCTGCAGGGCCAGGACGACTGCCCGATAGATGGTGCTGGGAAAACTGACTCATTCTATGGAGAAAAATGGCAATGGAAATGGAAAAAACCAGGTTCTTAACCTCCATACAAAGATGAATTCCAGATGGATTAAAGTATACCATAAAAGGTAAAACTATAACCTTAATATAAGAAAGTATAGGGGAATATCTTTGTGACTTAAGAGTAGGGAGGGGACTTCTTAAATAAAGACCCAAAACATAAAAAATAAGGCTAAAAAGTGAATTTCAATACATCAAAATGAAAGATTTCTGTTCAAAGAAGGACATGTGGCTAAGATTAATGGAAAGAAGACAAAATGGGAGAGGTGCAATCTAAACCCATCCTAGTATCTGGAATATATACAAGGGACTCTCCTAAGAAGCCACATGAAAAAACTGCATGAAAAACAGCAGCCACCTTTGGGAAACTGAGCAAAAGACAGGAACAAGCAATTTACAGATGAGGAAACCCACAGGCTAATGTACAAAGAGACACTTGCACTTACCAGTAAATATTTACTTAGATATTTAGTATTTAAACTATTTATATTTATATTAATTTATATAATATAAACTATGTTAATTTTATAAATCAATTTTATAAATAATTAAAATTAATTAATTTTATAATTATATATAATTTTTATAAAATTAATTTTATAAATAATTAAAAACAAATATTAAATCAATGAAATAATGAGATATCACATTATGAGACCGGCAGACTTTAGAAAGTGGGTGTTATCCTGGATAAGTCCTCTTCAAGTGGCAGCCAAGCCCCATGGGGAGAGGCACTTACAGCTGACCTCCAGCTGTTGGGTCTGGCAGAGACATCCCGGTCACCCAGGCTGGCACGTGGTAAAACCCCTGTCTGGGCCAGTCCTGGTGAAACCATTCCCTGCAGCAGCCACTGCTCATCCTGGCCCAGCTCCTTGTGCTAGGTCTGTAAAGAGCAGCACCTCTGGCCACAATACCTACCTAGGCAGCTAGGTGAGTATTGGAGAAGTCCCCTGCCCCCAGCTTCTCCTCTGGCTCCTCCTGCCTGCTTTGAGCACTGCCGCCTGAGTCACCTCCCTGAAAGCCAGCTGACCGAATCACCACCCTTCTGCTCACAAACCCCTACTGGCTGCCACTGCCTGTGGGACGGAATCCAAGCACTTCAGCCTGGCACCAGAGACACTTCACAAACTGGCCTCGATTCCTGCTACTTTCTCCAGGTACCCCTGCTCCAATCATACTCAATCTGTCATTCTTCCCAGAGCATGCCAGGCCTGTTCACTTCTCAGGGCTCTGCAGAAATGGTTTTTGTTCCGTGGAATACCCTCTGTTCCCTCCAATCCTAGTCATGTGGTGTCCAACACCCCACTATAAGGGAATGTGTCGTTGGAAGCAAACCATGTGCTGGAACCAGAGTGATTTGATTCTCTTTCCAGCTCTGCCACCACGAGGTGTGAGTCCCTGGGTATTTCACTTCATCTCTCTGAGCCCCAGTTTGCTCAACCACAAAACGGGGATGAGCATTTCTACTGCATGGAGTTGGATGATGAGCTTCATATACTAAAGTGCTCAAGACGGGGCTGGCATATAATAAATGCTCATTAAATGGTAGCTATTATTATTCAGCCACAGCTCAAGCACGCCCCTCAGGGAAACCTTCCCAGATTCTCTCACACAGAACCAGCTGCTTCCTCATCTGGATCCTACAGTGTTGCCGCTCACACCTCATTCATCTCACACCCTCAGAGCCTGGCACAGTGCCTGGCACACAGGTGCTCAACGCTTGAGTGCTCAATGAATGATGTGCATGATTCTCCTACTCTTCCATTAAGTGAGGTGGCCTGTCTCCCCCACATTTCTTCCCCCCATAATTAAGTGAGGACCTGGATAGCTTTGGTTTCTGCAGACTAGATCCTTAGGGGATTAGAACCCAAGGGGACCCTGACAGTGGGAGAACACAGAGCTTCCCTGGCCTCCCTGGGGCGCCTGTGAGTGACTGCTGGGCTGCCCTGGCCAGAACCAGCACTGTGGGCCCCAAGAACAGGCAGGACCATTCTCCAGGAGAAGGATTTCCAACTGGGTTATGAATCTCATGGCACGGCTTGGAAAGCGCCACATTGCACTCTTTGTGAACTCACTCATAAAAGTGTATGTGGAGTGCTCTGTATTGTTACAGGGTTTGCGTTGGGAGCACGTTTATCAAGAGTCCCCGAGCAGTGGGCCAGGCCTTCCCAGGGAAGCTCAAAGCCTTGTAGGTGTCTCTAAGCTGCTGGGGACCTGTGCTCTTCTCTCAAAGGCACACCTGCTCCCCAGCCTGCCAACAGCCTCAGCCCATCCCCATGGGTCACCCTCCTTCCCCCAAATTAAAGCAGCCACATGTCACTTAGAGTTTGGGGACCAGACTCTCAGTCCCCATCTCCAGCCGTGTCCCCCTGCTGCCTCACACTCTTGGCTCCAGCCACAATCCCTTGGGGCCCTTGGGGCCTTTGCAAATGTTGCTGCCCTTTGGATGTCTGTCCCTCCTTGTGCTCTTGGCACAGGGTCAGCTTCCTCCCAGGCCCAGGCCAAGTCCGGGTCTCTCTTCCCACAGCTCTCGCGTTCCCGCCTGCGGCACTGTGGCTGGGGGCTGAGAATGCCTGGTTCCTCTTCCAGCCCCACGAGACTGTGGGGCCCGGCCAGGATGCACTCTCCTGTGCCCGGCCCAGGGCCAGGCTGGCTTGGCTTACCTTGGCACTCCTGCGTGGCCCCTGAGGTGGCCAGCGTGTAGCCAGGGTAGCAGAAGCAGGAGTAGGAGCCCACACGGTTGACACAGCGTCCTTTTCCCTTGCAGGGGTCCCTCAGACACTCGTTGTCATCTGACCAGAGGAAGGCAGGGAGGGAGGTCAGGGAGGCCAGCAGGGCCTTTCCTTGGGCACCTGCCAGCAACTGCCCACACTAGGGGCTGGGCAGGGGATGGCGCTGTGTGGCAGGGAAGGGGTGAGGGAGCAGAGGAGGCCAGGGAGATGAAAATCTCTACGGCTAGAAGCTACAAAGTCGGCCCATTGGGCCCACTCAGGCACTCAGGGCCTGGGTGACTTCCAACACCTCCTCCCTGTTCCTGGTCCTTTTTCTCCAGTGGCCCTGTCATCACTTCCTTTCTCCTCCAAGACCACAGTGGATGTTTCTCCTTTGTATAAAAATATTGAGGGAGGAGGAATGAAGCCCACACTTGATCATTTATCTTGGCCCCAAACCTCTCCCCAGGGGATGGCCCCGGCGGAGACATTTTCAACTGGGGCAGACCTTGGTCCACTCTGCAGGCAGCAAAATGGCCAGGTTGAGGGGTGGGCTGCTCTCAGAGTGAAGGGCTGCCAGGCACTGGTCGGGGTGCTGTGAGGTAGTTTTCTACCCTCCTGGAGTCCTGGAGACTCATCAGATGGGTCTCAGAGAGACCAGCCTTCCCCTGAAGGTCAAGGTTAGCTTTGTCCACAGTGACTGACTAGTCATGCTCCTCCTAAACGTATCAACCACCCAGCACTGCATGGATCTTCTACTGCCTCGGACTTTTGACTCAGTTCCCCAGCTCCTGCCCCTGTCTACCCCAGCCACCAAGTAAGCCCAGGAGGCCAAGTGAATACCTGTGCAGTAGGCCTGGCTGGGGTGCAGCCGGTAGCCAGGGCCACAAACACATCTGTATCCATCTGGGAGGTTCACGCAGGTTCCAGGGCCACAGATGTTGGCAGCTCCAGCAGCACATCTATCAATGCCTGTGGGAGACAGAGCAAAGCAGAGGTCGTGGCAGGGAGGGGGCGGATGGAGGCAGTGGAGCAGGGTAGGGTGTGTGGGGACTAGGGTGCAGGGGTCTCAGGAGACCAACCTTAGCCAGGCCCTCCCATATCCATGCACAGCATGGCCTCACGTGCGACTCCATCTGGGGCCCTGCGCCCTACCCAGGGTGGGGCTCACAGGAGTGCATCCCCCAGCCAAGACCTAATAGGTTCTAGGAACTGTATATCCAGTACGCAGCCTCCCCACTGAGGCCTCCAGCCTGGCCTCGCTCTGAATATGGGCCTGGCCCCCACCCTGTGGCCAGTGCCCCTGCCTGCAACTCCTGCCGAGTTCCCAGACAGCCAGCAGAGCTGGTGAGGAGGGTGCAGCGGCAAATGAGAGAGGGGGGCTGGGGCCCACCAAGCAGGGCCTTGAATTCCACATTGCGACTGGCCTGTAAGCAAGGGGGTCACAGAAGGAGGGGGTGGACTGGAGCTGTCTCAGAAAGGCCACCCAGGCAGCAAGACAGTGGATAAACTGTATGGGAGGCACAAGGGCCCCTAGAACCTGTCTAAATAATTTAATGAGGATCTGCCTTAGGTGGTGGTAATGGGGTGAAAAGTGGGGGGATAGGGGCTAAATTGAGAAACAGTTTGGAGGCAGACTCACCGGGACTCAGTTGGCCACATAGGTGGCAGAGACTCTAGCTTTTTGAATTGTATCCTTAATACTAGAAAATTACCTGACACTTAGAACACGCCGAATGAATGAATGAATCAATGAATGGATGGATGAATAAATGATGCTTTCAGTCTCTGTGTCTGCTCCGGGGTCTTAGCCTGAAGCGCACATGCCCCGGGCTCCCTGCCCTGCCCTGCAGCTCTGAGAGAAGCCTGAAGACCCACGGGAATGGGTTGGGAAGAGGCCTGCGTTGGTACACAGTGGGGCTCAGCAGTATTGGCTAGAGTGGGCAGAACTGAATGTGCACACACGCCTGCTTGCAAGGTTGTCCTCTCCCCTGGCCTGGCTCCGAGTTTGTGTCAGCGCCCCCCACTCGCACCTCCCACTCAAGGTGACCTGGATCTGTGGCTCTCGGTGGCGAGGTTAAGAGAGCAGTGAGCCCCGGGGGGAGGGCACACATGTGCACAGGGAGCAACAGTGATAGCACCAGCCCCGCTTCTCTGGAACCAAGTCCCCGGACAATGAGCCTTTAAGGAGGGTACATTCCAGAGCAAGGTGGATTTGCCAGGGATCTCCCCCACGCCTCCCCCCGCGCGCCCCCCCCCACCCCCCACGAATGCAGCTGACCAGAGGGAGAGGAATGCAGGCTCAGGGAAACAACCTTGAGAAACAGAACCGTATTCCTTCCCGAAAGTCAGCCCTCCCCGTTGGCAGGAGGCTGCCTGCTGCCAGGGAACTCCGCTGACTCAGGGCAAACGGCTTGGAAGAGCCGGGCTCAGAGGCTCTCACTCCCCGTGCTCCCTTTCCTGGAGAGCACGCCCTGTATTCTCCTGGGAGATCCCTGGCTTTCCTGGAGGCCTCCGAGTAAGACCCTCCCCAAAGTGTCCCTTCTCTTCCCCTCCCTGGGTTGAGTAGTGCTCCAGACAGGGCTCCTGTTTTCACTAAGGGGACCTGGTGCTCTTCATAGGAGGAGACCAGAGGCGCAGAGCCTGGGAGGTGATCTGGTTGGAGAGGTGAGGGAGGGGTTCCACTCATGCCCCCGCCCTGGAGTCAGCGCTGGACAGCCACACCGCACAGGGGAGCGTGCAGAGAGCCCTAAAGGGCCGGCTGTAGCTACCTGGGGGGCTCGTGGTCACCAGCACATTGGTGGAGAGGGTCACTTGCTCTTCCTCCTGGGTCTCTGGAGTCCTCTGTTCAGGCGGTGGTGGTGTGGGTCTTCCTATGGCATCCCCTGCGGAGGGGAGAGGGGAAGAGGTGAGCCCACAGGCCCTTGGCTGACAGTGACCCTCCCCTGCTCCCTGCTGTTCCGACTCCCAAGAACAAGTGGAGAGGCCTAGGCTGGGTCACCCCTGCGCTTCCTAGTCCCTTGAACCTAGACCTGGACCCACACAGTCAGAGTCTGAGAGCTCTAAGGGCATTGGAGTGCATCCAGTCCAACCTGCCATTTCACAGGAGAGGAGACTGAGGCTCGCAGAGGTGGCCGCTTGCCCAAGGCCAGCCAGCTTGCTGGAGGCAGAGCTGGAGCCCCTAACCACTTTGGGTGAAAGAGCTCCAGGGACCCAGCAACTGCCCGTTTCAGCAAGTACTTCCTCTTTGGTCTGATGTACGTGTTGAGTGGCTCCATGACATTCAGAAAGAGTTTTGTGGCTAGGAAACTATCTGCAAGGCATCACAGGGTCTCTCACCGACCTCCCTGCACCTTAGGTGTGAGCATTCACGTGCCATGTCGTTCACGACGTCCTCTGAACAGGCCAGCTCACGTATAGCAACTCCACTACTAGATTAAGGTCGTTCTGCCTCCCTCCTCTTTCCCCAGGTAGCTGCTAGGAGGAGGGACTCACCTGGGACCCCGGCAGATACATGGGTGACACTGGTGGTGACCTGCACAGAAACAAGGGGTCACTTTGGGCTCCTCTGTTATCTCTAGGATGTGTTTCCTTCCACCACACTCACACCCACTCCAGGCTTCTGTCCAACTTGCTTATTCACCTTTTCATTCATTCCAGGTATTGATGAGTTCTCACTGTATGCCGGGCACTCTGCTAGACACTTTATATCCACTGTCTTAATTAATCTTCTCAACTAGCTCAGCATAGTAGGTTGAAATGATTGACTGAGCCCAAGTATGTGCCGTGCCAGGTCAGTGCTGGGCATATGGTGGAAATCAGCATGTATAGTACCAATGATGCAATCCCATGTCTCCAGAAGTTAACTAGAGTGCCCAGGGCCACATGGCCAGTGTGGCAAACCCAGGATCCAGGGCCACACCTGTGTCCCGCAACACAGCCCGAGGATGGAGGTAGTGAAGAGGTGGGGAACAGGAGGAGGGGAATGGGCAGAGGACGAAAGAGGCCCTGGAGCATGGCTGGGACTGTAGGGACACTGGATTAGAGCTCTGGCCCTGGAGGATGGCACGTGGTGCTCCAGAGAGAAAACAGGCCCGCTGGAGACACTGCATTTGGGTACAATCAGATACTCAGGTTGTAAGGGCAGGGGACAGGGTAGGGACTGGAAGATGGTGAAGGAAGCAGCAGATGCACTCTTCTGGAATGTTTTTCTAGGAGGACACCCAGTTCCTCACAGGGAATTCTGGGCACAGAGAAAGGAGCCAGATGCCCCTTTCTCAGTGATGTGGTTCGAGGCTATTCCCAGCTGTGCCTCTACTTCCCGTTACACCACTCACAGAGGGGACCTTGACGTTTAACCTACACTGGCTCAGAAAGTGCCAGATCCAGGATAAACTGGAACTAACTCTAAACCCCATCTGTAGTGCTTAAAGCTTGAGTGACAGCCAGGACTGACAGGACATGTTCCTACTTCCTTTCTGAAGGGCCTCAGCCCATCCCAAACAGAAAGCGTGCACAGCAGCTGCTCCGTGAACAGTTGTTTTTATTACTTCCTTTACGGTAAAACTGGGCTTTGGCCCTACCCTCCCGGTTTGTCATCTCTCCAAGTACAATCCGACAGATACTCATTTTTCTCCTCTTCCCCCCTCACAGGACACTGCCCTGGGGCCTCAGTGGCTACCAGGGCCCACTCTGCCACCCTTGCCCAGCTCCCTAATGGGAGGATTCACTCACCTCGCCAGCCTGAGAGTCACCTGGGAAGGGAAAGGTGACAGTGTGAGCTCAGGGAGGAGGGTCTGGCTGCCTTCTCCCCTCCACCCATGGCCTGAGCAGCTCTGTGGTCTGCACCCCTCCGATTGTGTCCCCAGCAGGGTCAGCAGTAGTGACAGTGTAGACTCTTCTTACCTGTCTCTGTCCTGTCACCCCCCTGTGGGGACTGGCCACCACAGAATCCCAGTCTGGAGGGCCTGAAGGTAGCTCAGCTTGGCTTGTTGCTTGGTGAGAGGAAGCCCCTGCTTTCCTTTAAGGCTTGCAGTGACAGGAGTGCCACCCTCTCCTGGGCCAGTGCACCCTACTGATCCTGTAGCCTACCTCCTTGCATGGCAGCCTCCTCCCTCAACGCCTCCCAGCCACCCTGAGTCACTCAGCCCCCTGCCCTGGGCTACGGGCCAGGGGAAGACTTCCAGGAAGGGGTGGAGATGTTCCTGGCTTGGCCGGTGTCCAGTGTCCATGACAACTGGGGCTCTGTCCTCACTTCCTGTCTATGCCAGATTCCTGGAGCAATTTTAGGAATCACATAGTTTGCCTGGCCCTAATATGCTCCAGGCCTCCTGTACTCCATGTTACCAGTAACTGGGTCATGACTTCACCACAGTATCCCAAGGCACCTGCCAGGAGAGCCTCAAGCCTAGTCTCTCTCCAGCCCTGTGCCTCCTCCATCTGAGGCAGCTGAGGGGAGTGAGCACTCGACTCCGAGGCCAGAGCTGGGATGTGAAGCACACAGCCTCCCAGGACCCACGGCCAGCTCTTCAGGCCTGCAGCAAGTGTCAGCCCCGAAGCTGCGTGGCCAGGGCAGAGCACGGAGAGTCTGATCAGCAGGTGGGCTCTGCTGCCACCCTCTCCCGCGCTCTACAAGCAGCTCTCAGGATGCGGGCACCTCTTGATCCCATATGGGAGAGGAGATGAGTGAGGCCCTCCTGTCATGCCAGGCCATGACAGAAGGTTCCCAGGTCCAGGTGCTGCTGCTCCAAGCTCCCTTTCTTTATGTCCCAGAGATGGGGTCCCCAGGGACCCCCAATAAATGCCTGTGCCTCTTGGAGATACTGCAAACATAGGGGAGAAGGGAATCCCTCAGGCATCTCCCCGGCTCAGATACCCTTGTCAGGCGTGGTCCCGGCCTCAAGCCAGGTGTCTGTGGCCGCCCGGAGTGGCTGCCTCTCTGCTGGCCCAGGCAGCGCCCCAGTGCTCTTCTGTCCTTGCTCCCTTGAGGGCCTGGCCAGTTCCTCCTCCTCGGCTTTCCTCATGGACAGGCGGATGTCTGAGCTCGAGTAGGTGTAGCCGTGGCCGGCAGGGCAGATCTCCCTGAAGGCCTCTGCAAAGCGACAGCCAGAGGACAAACTGAGAAATGCTGTCCCTGCAGGGAACCAGGGCCCTCCTTTCCCTCCCTTTGGGAGACAATTGTGGCAGCAGGGAGGGAGGGAGCCCCGGGAGGGAGGGAGCCCCAGGCGGGGATAAACAGTCAACAAGGAGGGAAGACTGAGTCTTCTGGCTGGAGGGAGGTCTACACAGGCTGGGGAATATGGCCCCTGGCTTCTAAGAAGCCCCTTAGTGGTCAGAGCCAGGAGGGAGGGAGGGAGTTACCTGTGCCAGGCAGGGGGCATTTCTCACACTTGCTGCCCCAAGCTTTGCCCACACGGCTGCAGCAGCAGATCTGCTTGGTGATCCGCTGGGCCAAAGGCAGGGCACAGGTGCCAGGCCCCAGCGACCGGTAGCACAGTCCCTGCAGCATGGAGATGGCCTTGTCCGCTGCAACAGACATGGCACATGTGGATGGCTAGTTGGTCAGTGGGAGGGGAATGTGCAGATAGACAGAGGGCAGTGGGTGGAGAGGTGTGGCCGGCCACATGCACGCAGACGGGCCTGGCCCACGTCTCCATCTGGAAGTTTGGATCCCAGAAAACGTTCACAAGAACTTTAGGAGGAATGTTTTGGCATCTCTGCATGTTATCTGTTTGATGAGACCCTTGACTCCCCACCCTCATGCGGAGAACCTGAGAGCAGGAAATGAGGGTGCAGCTGCTTGTCTCCTGTGCTGAGTTTGCAAGTGTCTCCTGCAGGCCCACATGCGCCTGGGGCCGAAGGGGCAGCAGTGTGCTCTGAGGACCACAGCCTTCCTGGGAAGATGGGAAAGGTGACAGCCAAAGGCCTGATGGGGAGCTTTGAGGACAGGGACTCTGTCTTGGTCATCTTTGTCACTCAGGCACCTTCCACAGTGTCTGGTGCTCATAGATGCTCAGTAAGTGCTTGTTGAATCCATGGATGGACAGCTAGGTCAATGAATCAACCTAACACTGAATCAATGAATTGAAATGCTGAGGATCACAGTGCGTTCGACCTATGCTTGGCTTAGGTCATAGCAATACCATCACTACTATCCCCTTTCTTGTACTTTGATGTGAAACATTAAAAAACAGTCTCTTGTGTATTAGATGAGGAGGCCATGCCAGGTTGGAAGAGACGGGACTCTAAGGGGATGAGGGGTGGGGTGAAAGGGACACCAAGCAAAACTGAGGAATGAATGACCCTGGGGAAGTCCTGGTTGGGACCAGGACTCAGTAGACCAAGTTCCAGTCCCTGTTCCACCATGAGCTATAGGCTTGGTGCTGGGAAACAGCACCATTAATGCTACAGACAGCCCTTTAAGAAAGGTCACTTGGCAACCAAGTGATCACGCTGCTAAGCTCAGCTGCTGGAAGGGGCAGCAGTGGCTCAGCCCAACATTAAAGCACAGGTAACACCCCTGTGCCACCCTCCAGCCCCCAGCATAAATCAAGAGACACATGGAACAGAAATGATTGCAGGAAAAAACAGAAGAAGCAGAAATTATTAATCCCAAACTGCAGAGCCCCAGAAGAAATGCTTAATGCAAAAAGTGAAGTTGTAACCATCTCTCTTCCTGCAGAGTGGGCCAATCTGTTTTTGTACACAGGGCCCAACTCCAGGTTGAGTGGCAGACACCGGCCCCAAGCATAGAGTGATGAGGTCTGGGAAAAATTACTGCTCTGGGCCTTGCCTGTGGATCTGGAGAGTCCCATCTTGCCTCCCAGCGTTCCCTCCCCTGGTCCCCACTGGCACTCACACACGCAGCGGCTCCGAGATGGATCCAGCATGAGGCCAGGTCCGCATGTGCACAGGTAGCTGCCCCTGGTGTTCACGCACTCCGCGTCCTTGCACAGGCCCAGGGTGGAGCACTCATTGATATCTGCGGGGTGGAGGAGATGACCAAGCACCCACCCCACCGACGCCTTATGGAGGGGAGCGGCTGGTATTCAAAGAGACCTTTAAATACTTTCTCCAGATAAAATGACAACAAGAAGAAAGCCACCATTCACTGAGTGCGATTCCTCTCTCCATGCCTCAGTCTCCTCATTGGTAAAATTGGGATAATGGTAGTAACTACCAGCTAGTGTTGTTAGAGGGATAAAACGAGATAAAAACTGCAAACACTTGGTCCCCTAATGCCATGTAATAATGATCACGATACTAAGAACTAACATTCATGGAGTACCTATCACATGCCACGTACTCTGCCGGGTATTTAACATACCCCATTTAATTCTCACAAAACAGTTTTATTAAGTAGGTCCACATGTCCTCAGTTTTATAGGCAAAGGAATTGAGGCTCCAGGAGTAACTTGTCCAGTGACACTCAGCTGGTAGGTGGCATGCTGGGACATAGGGGACACAGGTAAAGGGGACTGTGGGTTGGAGGCTGGAGAAGGGGAAGCCACATTCCTCCCATTCAGGCTTATGCCAGAGGCCCTGAAGCACCACGGCAGGGCCCAAGACCCTGGAACATGTCTGCATTGAGCTGGAGGAGGGAGGGGCCCCGGCAAGGAAGGTGCTGGAGGCTGGAGGAAGAGGGGAGTGGGCCCGCAGCAAGGGGGGCCCTCAGGCAGAAGCAGAGGTTGGGGGGCACGCCTCCAGGTCCTTGTGAACACCCCAGCCTTGGGCAGCCCCCACACATCCCCCCAAGACCAGTGGACGCTCATGCTGTTCTTCAAACAAGGGAAGTACATGAGCTCCCCCTGCGATCTCAAAAATTTTCATGCTGCAAACTTCTTCCTGCCGAGGGGAAATCCCAACCCTCACACTCTAAACTTCAAGAAGTCGAGGACCATTTTGGTGATGGCGCCTCCACTGACGACCATGATGGCAGCAGAGATGGTGAGCATGAAAGGTGTGTGAGGGGCACCCTCCAACAGGCCCAGGAGACAGCACAGGCGGCCCAGTGTCGTCAGAGCCACCAGCTCGCCCACAGGCTTTGGGGGAACTGGCACTGAGCACAGGAGTGAGCGCCTGAAAGACGATCCAGCATGGGCACCAAGGAGAGCTGCTCCTTGGTAGGGACGCCCCAGTGGGGTGCCCGGCAGCTGGGAAGGGGCATCAATCCAGGTGCCTCCAGCCTGTGGCCACAGTGATACCTCTAAACACTAATTTGACTTGTCTCCCTTTGCGTGAGAAGCTTCTGGGCTCCCCATCACTTCCTAGAGGGAGCCCCTAAACCCTAAGATGGTATCCAAGGCCCTCGACCATTTTCCCAAAGCCTGTGGGCAAGCAGGTGACTCTGATGACAGTGGCATGCCTGTGGCATCTCCTGTGTGCACACAGGCCGCGTGCACAGTGCCCTCTCAGGCACTCGGGCCTCCCCAAACTGTTGCCGCACTCATGCTGTTCCCTCTGCTAGAGAGCTTGCATCCCCTGTAGCTGGCCAACTCGAACCTGTTTCTTTTAAAGTCTTGGCTTAGCTGTCACCTCTTCTAGGAAGCCTTCCCTGATCCTCCCAGTCTGGGAAGGGCCCCCACCATGGGGGGGTGAGTGCTTCTTTCCACCAAGAACATGTCACTCATTGTGTGAAATTGTTTAGGTGTCTGTCTTCACCTGTGGCAGGGACTGTGCCTCCTAGGTACTCCCCCCCCCCCAGCTTTCTTTAGGAGAGAGGAGTCTGAGGAAGCCCTGGGGGGCTGGGGGGGCTGTCTACGTGTGGGGTGACAGGATGCAGAAATGATTTCTAGCCCATGGATAAGAAAAGGTGCTTAGAGCAGGCAAAATAGCAAGTCTCTGGCCCAGCCTGGCCTGGGGTCAGACTCCCACAGGGGCAATGGTGGGAGGCCTAGTGGATGGTGGACACGGGGAGAAATCTGTGTTTGTGCCCTTGGAGGGCACAACAGGGCTTTTCGTATCTAAACTGTCCCTAATGGCTTCTCCTCCTGGCAGGTTTCCCAGTCTGGAGCCCCAGGAAGGGAGTCTCTTTCCCCTTCCTGGCTGTGGGTGGAGGCAGTGGGAGGGAGGCCTGAGCAGCTAAAGGTGCTTGGCTGGGAAGGGTCCACAGGGGTCACCACCAGCCCAGGCTGGCCTGAGTGGAAATTCTTCCCATTCCAGGGAGACCAGCTCAGGAGCTGCCGGATGCGCAGACACAGCACCACACTGCCCTAGAGAGGCACCTGGCCCATGTTCCAGGCAGGGGCGAGTGGAGATGGGAGGAGGGGAGGGGCTGGGCTCCCTTGGCTCCCTCTGTCACTCTCAAGCAAGCCCCTGACTTCCCTAGGCCCCTGGAACCAGCAGCCCCCACTGCTCCCTCAAGCTGGGGCTTAGAGGTGCCCAGTGGTGGCCACTCAGGCAGGGACAGACCCTCCTCCCATCTGGCGTGGGTGGCATGCCCCTGCATCAGTAGGCCTTGTCATTTCCCACCCCCCCAAGCCCAGCCCCGGTCACCCTACCTTGGCAGTGAGTGAGGTTCAGTCTCTTGTACCCCTGAGGACACTCCAGCTGGCCATTTTCAATCACCGCGGAGGCTGAGGAGTGAAGATACAGACAGGTCTTACCGCAGGGCCCTCGAGCTCCTCTGTCACCCATGCCGGGGGGCAGGTACCACCTGGGCATCCAGCCCACTCAGCAGCTGAGAGCCCCGGCCACCAGCCATTGCCCTGGGTAGTTGTGCCTCTGGCTGTCACCAGGCTCCTCTCAGCCCACATTGCTTTTATTTAAAATGATACTAAGTGAAATATGCCAGGCACAGAAAGACAAATACCCTATGACCTCACTTATGTGCAGAATCTACAAAAAGCGAACCCATAGGAGCAGAGAGCAGGACGGTGGTTACCAGGGGCGGGGTTGGGGACATGTTGGTGAAAGGACACAAAATTTCAGTTAGACACAGGGAACAAATTCAAGAGATCTATTGTACAACAATACAATGTATTGTATACTATAGCTAATATTGTATACTGGAAAATCACTGGAAGAGTAGATTTTAAGTGTTGTCACTACACACACACACATACACAAAAGTATGTGAGATAAATCACATGTTAATTAGCATCATTTAGCCATTTCACAATGTATATATATTTCAGAACATCGTGTTATACACAATAATTGTATATTATACAATTTTTATTTATCAATTAAAATATTTAAATAGTAAGAAAAATTATACTGACTATATAATAATACTTCATATATAGTTATACTTTATATATAGTATATATTTTATACTATATGCATGTTATACAATATAACATGTGCTTGAAGAGGTTTTATTTTGAAATAATTCTAGGTACATGGGAGATGTCTGATTGCAGATTGAGCAACAAGGAAATGGTTCTCAGTATTTTGATGCTAATACACATCTTGCCTTGCTTTCAAAACATTCCTCCTTCCTTTACAGAGAAAAAAACCCAAACAATTGACGTTAATTAAAAACAGGGAAAGCATCTCCATTACTTTAGAGGGACAGACAAGCGTGTCAACCCCCATGGAAAGCTCTAGCAGGAAGCATATTACTGACAGCCACCTGTCATCACAGAAAAAGGCAGCAAATAGGGAATACCATCTTTTTGTGAAAAAAAAAATTAAAAGAATAACTCCTCTTTAAGTTTGACAATTCCTTTGCCAAGAGATAGCCAGCAATTCTTAAAATGTGCAAGAAGTTTTCACAGAACTTATTCCACACAAAGTTCCCTAAAGATACCATTATACTTTAAAGGTCTTACTTCATAAAGCTAGCCACATGATGACTTCCAGTAGCAATTTGTCTTCTTCTGGCTTTGACCACCTTGTGCAATAGCTTGTCTGGGGCACTATACACACAGACTCTCCATCACTGTGAACTTACCACAGTTCCTTTTTATTACAGTTGTAGCATTGGTGGCTACACATACAGAGTGGTTTGGTAAAGCTTATTTTCATCCAAGAAATCATTAACCATTGAGAATATATGTTCGCTGTTTCATCCTTTAGTGGCTTACAGAAAGATAGTTCTTCATATATTTTATTGTTGAAATGGATTCTTGCAAGTACCAAGAGACATACTAGAAATATCTATACTTCTCTCCAATTGTACGGCAAAGTTTGACTGTCCTGGTGTTTTAAAATGTTTTTCTAATTAAGCTAGCTTTTATTTCATCAGTAGCTGCTGTCTCTGGGCACGTTATACACTTAAGGCAAGGTTTATTATTAATGACAGCATATATAGCTCTATATTTCATATTGTCTTCTTGTTCATTTGGATCCTGTGGTACTTTTGGGTCACATCTGATAGGTCATAATTATTTTTACCTCGTAATATGGCTAATGACATGTGAGACGTCCCCTGAGAAGTGTCAGCACTGCATTTTTTAATGACTGCTTACAATTATGTTACACTATTTTGAGTCCACATGAATTTTTTCGAGACATTTCTTCATTTTGTGAGGTTTGGTTTAGTTAACACTGGACAACACAGCTGAAAAGTCCAGCAAACTGAGCACTGTGAAATGCGCTATGTTGTAACACGCCAAAGACAAACATAAGGGGGTGCCACATTTTCCTGGAATCCCCACTCTTCCCTGAGGACACACTGTGTGCCAAACATGACATGTGACGGTCTGACATATGGACAGACCAATCGAGGACAGAAATTGGTAACACTTAGTTTTTTTATTTAAGATCGAATAATGCAAATTGAAGTTCTAATATTTTTTCCTGCCTTGGACTGCCTTGCTCTGGTTTGCATGTTCCACTGTGGGGACTAGGCTCTAACCTAGAAGACCACTCTTACAGAGACACACGTGGATTCTGAAAACGCTGAGGTTGAGATGGAAAGATGAGAGCGATGCTGGAAAATGTGCATGTCCCTGGCATGGAGCCTCGTGGTATGAACTGAGGACAGAGAGCAGGGAAGAAAGAGAGGAAGTTGTCTGGAGGGACTCAGATAGCAGGCTGATTGGATGCATCTCATGAACATTATGAAGAGCAGAAGGTGGGAAAGGGTAACGCAAGGCTGCGGCCAGAGGGCCGAGGAATAATGCCAAGTTGGCATTTATACGATGCTTCAGAGTTGCAAGGCCGTGGGTGCATACTGTCTTGTTTCTCGCAACAATAACTCTGTTAAGGCAGGGATCATTGTCCCCATTTTATGGGGTGGGAGAGGCCAGCCAGGGCAGCATCACCTTTCCAGATTTCAAGAGGGGGAAGTTAGACAGAAGGTCTCTGCTTCTTTAATGATCAGGAGAAAAGTGGTGGAGAGTTTGCATCAGAACAGGGAGCAAGAGTGGAACCAGCTGCTGGCACCTGCAGGAAACGGAGAGAACCTGAGGGCTGTGTTGAGCTGAAAGGACCTGGGTTCATTCGTTAGTCTGGATACGCGTGTATACTTTTTCTATAAAGTGGTTTCCTCTCTTGGGAAGGGGACTCTGCCCGCTTGCTGGCTTGAAGAGATTGTGAAGGCAGGCTGCTAGAGAGAAATAAATGCCAAGCCACCGTCCCTGGTGATTTGCAAACACCCCCACCACCACCCCAAACCAGGGCTGTCAGTGCCCTTCCTCACCCCTGCCAGAGGCAGTCTATAAGGGGCTAGTTCTCAGTTTCTATAAGAGCAAGGACAGTGTCCAATCTAGAAAATTCAGCTTAAATCTCTTTGGGAGAAGGAAAACAGAAGCATAGATGGTCATGTGTCTCAGCAGCCAGTGAGCTGTGTTATTCATGGTGATATGGGAAGGCAGGGACACCTATCCCACTGACCCTGCCACCCACACCAGGTGCCCTTCCCCAGGTGCTCTCATCACACGTAGACCCACCTGAGTCATGGTGTGTTGTGACTGCCCGTTTGTCCGTTTCCCCACTACACTGAAAGCTACATGAGGATGAGGACCTTGTTCTCTCCACCATTGCTATGTCTCTAGTGCCAAGCATGGCACCTGGAGCAGTATGGGGACAAATGATAATAATAGCAAACGCTAAAGTGGCACTTAGTATGGGCCAGGCCCTGTATAAAGGCTTTCCAGGTATTAACTTATTTAAGCCTCACAACAGCCCTTGGAGGTACTTACTAACATTATCCCCCATTTGATGGATGAGCAAATTGAGGCACAGAGAAGTGAGGAAACAAACCCAGCTGGGTGGATGGAGCTGGGATTACGAACCCAGGCAGCCTGGCTGCAGAGGAGAAATTGTGAACCATTCTCTCCACTGCCTGCCCAGCTGGAGACTCACCACCCTTCCTAAGACACCCCCTCCCCTGCCCTGTTTCCAAGGGATCGGAGAGAAAATAGAAATAAAATGTCAGGATACTCAGAAGGAGGTCAGAGGAACTAATTGGATGCTTGATAAGTGCTCCATGCTTTGTATAACCAAAGTGCCATGTGGAGTTGACAAAGGACATCAGGAGGAAGCTGTCCTAGCCCTCATGGCCCCTTAGCCAGGTCAAGGATATAACAAGGGGTCAGAGAGGAGAGAGGAGAGAATCTGTGTGATTTGGAGCGGGTGAGTGGCTAAGCTTGACTCCCATGGCTGCTTCAAGGAGACACCTGGCGAGTGGTGTCACCCTTGCCACTGGGACCCTCAGACCTGAGAAAGCCAGAGCAGCTGGGATCAGTTGGGATCAACCTGAACCCCAAGGAGTCTGAACGCCACAAAATGCCATGAAGTGTGCAGAGCAGACATGGGTGACTTTCCTGGTAAGGACACTGGGGCCATGTGGACTTCTGGCCCCAGCCTCAGCCCTACCCACCCACTGCTGCACCTCGATTGTTCACAGACTGGGGACAGAAGCAGAGACCGCCACGGCTGCAGGCTGCCCCTGCCCAGCTAATTCCCAAGGAGGCCTTAGCAAAGGCAAACTAATTTCTTGAGACAGTTTTGGCCCCGACTCCATGAGCAGAGCTGGGAGGAGATGGTGAAGACATGTGTCTGGCCACAGGGCTGTTTACAAGCTGTGCTGATCTCAGCCTGTGATGACAGGTGCCTACAGCAGGGAGATGTGGAGGGTCCCCACGGCACACCCCCTCTGCCCAGAGACCAGACACACACATGCCCCACGAGGCCACGCTCAGTGCCACGGGCATGGGAGCAGGCTGGAGCCTTGGGCCCCTTGCCTTGCAGACCTCAGGCGGGCAAGCTGGAGAGAAAGTTCCACTCTTCCAGTAGACCCATATCTAATTCCTGGCTCTACTCTATCGGTGTGACCTGGGGCACATTTCTTAACCTCCTTCAGCCTGAGTTTTTTCATCTGCAGATGTGGGGACAGAAACTGAGTTCTTGGGGTTGTTGTGGGATTAGCTCTGCTGAAACAGGGAATGTCGGACTGCTCCTAGCATGATGCCTGGCCTGGCCCTGTAGGTCCTTCCTTCTTCTTTCCTCCACCCCTCCCTCCCGCCCAGCGACAGCCTCAAGGACAGCGTGCTGGCCCTCACTAGCTGGATGAATTTGGGCAACTTCTCTGAGCCTGGTTTTCTTATCAGTAAAATGGAGATGGCAAGTCCTTCCTCATGGGGTCATTGCAAACATTAAACAAGCTGTAAAACTCTAAGCACAG